TGGCCAGAGGATGCCAGAGGATGCCAGAGGCAAGAGAGGATGCCAGAGGATGTGAAGAGCCAAAAATCCCGGAAGCACATGAGGGACCCACTAGTCACCTCTGAGGGTCGAGAATGGCTGAGTATGATATCTGTTGAGGAGAGTAGGGATGGGCCCAACGCATGGAACTGACTCTATCAACATATTGATGCTAAGGGGTCGCCCAGCTAGGGACAGCGTCGTTAAACAAGTACCCCTAGTTGGCCTCTCATCCCAGTCCATGCTTTGAACAAGCAGGTCTATTTTGCACACACATTTCCCTACTTTGTGGCCTTTCCTCAACATCAAAGACTCCATGCCCATTTGGTCCCATCTATCCCTGTGAAGGAAGAATCTGAGGAAAAAAGATAAACATCTGATACAAAACATCCCACTCTTCCCGTTCCAAGTGCTGGAATTCAAGTTTGGCAGGGGAAAATACGTGCCACCGCCCGGGGCCTGAATTGCATCCTCATCCGAGAGATCCTCTCCTGAGCCCAGCGGAGAAATTGGAACGACACATGTCTCAAAGTCTTGAAGTGATCAGGTGATCTCAGGATTTGGGCGGCTTAACCCGAGCCAGGTTGTCGTCCTAAAACACAACCAATGTCAGGTGATCTCAGGATTTGTTTGGGAAAAAACATATATGGACCTGCTTGCAAAAAGATTCATTTGGGTGACTGCTTCTTTTGCAGGTGTGTGGTCAGGATCTTGTCTGGAACACGGGAGCTTGGTGTTGAGATGAATTTCTTTGAGGCGTCAAAGGTGTAAGACTTGGACACCTGGTTCTCCAGCTCTGAAACCGCGAATCTGCTCACCGGACAAGGTCGCAAAAATGACGGGCTGTGACCCAACAGTTTTTTTTAAAGTTTCTTCTTTGAGATGATGCCATGTTCCCCACTCGTTGCAGAAAACGAAAAAGCTTCCTTTTCTTGACATCCGAAGGGCCGGGCTCACACATGGTAGGAGGGTCAAAAGGGGCGTTTTCGTTGCAAGGACATCAAATAAGCTTATATGTATACTGTATACTATCAAGATTCCTGGCTCCACCCCAGTACCATAGAATGATGGATCATTAAACCAATCGCAAGTAGCAACATCTTCATCCCCACCGGAGCTTCAAGAAAGCATATTTAAAAAAATATTAGTATACTAGTATTATGTTGGGCGATGGCAGCCATACATGGCCAACCATCAAATAATTGTTTTTGTGAAAAAAGTGAAAAAAGCAGCAAAATAAAAGCAAAAGAAAATGCAAAAACAAAGCAAAAACAAAGCAAAAAGCAAAAACAAAGCAAAACAAAAAGCGAAAAAAAAGCGAAAAAAAGCGAAAATAAAGCGAAAAAAAAGCGAAAAAAAAAAGTGAAAAAAAGCGGCAAATATGTTTTTGCTGTACCCTCCTAGGAAAAAAGCGAAAAAATGCGAAAAAATGCGAAAAAAAGCGAAAATAAAGCGAAAAAAATGCGAAAATAAAGCGAAACAAAAGTGAAAAAAAGCGACAAATACGCACAGCTACATTTTTTTGCTTTTTTGTTTGCTTTGCCTTTTGCTTTTTTTTGCTTTGTTTTTGCTTTATAAAACTATTTCGGGGAATTTCCCTGAACATTTTAAGTGCTTCCAGTCCGAGATCGTTGGCACGGCTGAGATTCAGCCAGATTTCCATGGCTGAAGCACTAAAGCGTGCATGTTTGAACCAAGGAGTTCATCTCCAGGAATCGCGAAAGGAAAAAAACAATAAAACTATTTTGGCTCCTTGTATCTATGGCTGGCGTGCCCGACATAATACTAGTATACATACTATATAGTATAATTACTATAAGCAGTACCACTTCAGCCACCTCTTTTCACCAGTTCCACGGCATCCGTTCTCCAAGATCCCGGGCCTTCCCTGGCGCGACCGCGGGCGCAACAAAGCGAAGCGTTGGCGTGACTCTTGCGGCGAGGTCCTACGAGGTCCATTTGGTCCTCACGGAGGGGGATGGCAAGGATCACCATTAAAAAAAAAAACGATTTCGGTGGAATCCCACGCAATGCCATGCAAGAAGTGTTCAGGAAAGCAACCACAAAAGAAACGTGACTAACGTTGCATGTGAACAAAGAAAAAAACACTCTTGAATATCCAGATAAACACCTGCCTATTGATCCGTGATACTAGTGATGGAGGCCGCATGTGGTGGACTCATCACCCCAACTTCCATATCTCCGATAACTGAAAAGCCGTGAGTTTGTCCTTGCACATCAGCAAACCACTCGGACCCTACCTACCTTCTGGCAAACTTAAAGGAACGCTGTCGACTGTGCAACGTTGGTGTGTTCCGCAGGTTTCACATGGTGTCACATGGTTTCACATGGTTTCGCACATGGTGTCGCACGTGGTGTCGCACATGGTTTCACGGCATTTCACCTATCGCTGCTGTGTTGTGTTTCAGCAAACCATTGGAATGCGAGTGTAAAGAATACTTCCAACTGAACTCGTCCTGCGTCTTCTTTTGTGCTGCAAAGAAGTAGGAAAAAAATCTTCGTGACCCGGAGGGGGCAGAAGGCTTCAGTACTTTCTTCGGGGTCGTGCTCCTCACAGGGAGCCCCGCAAGCCGGTCTTCAGAGACCACCCCATGGCCCAAGAGCTGGTAAGGAGGGAGTGTTTCTTTCACATGGTCACATGGTCCGAACATGGGTCAGAATTCCCTGTGCAGGCAGCGAATGTGTTGCCCCTAGCTGTGCCCCTAGCAAGCAAGCTACTCAAGGGGATTGGCACACATGCACAAGCACACGCCCCAGTACGACACCAAGCGAGCACCCAGCTCCGTGAGTCATTCCCTTCCAGGAGTCACACACGACTGGGTGCCGAACTTGGAGGACAGGGGTGCCCAGAACATCCACTCTCTGGATGGGACTACAGCTTGCTAGCTTCTGATTGTGCCAAAAAGCTTCCCAAAACAAGCCTTCAAAATCTCTTGGTGTTTTGGCTTTGTGAGCATCCACTGAAAGTATCGTGGTGCAGGGAGGAAAATTGTCTTGGTCCTTTCTATTCCTGGATCTTCTTTGGCTGTCGATCAGCCATGGCTGTCGATCAGCATGTAGATCACTACAGACTGTTCACCGTCAACATCACCGTCAACCAAGGCAACCCAACGCGACAACGCCGCCGACCAGTTGGCGACATCTCGCCGGGCTGACGCTGTCTTTGACATGGAAGCAGAGGTGTCCGAAAACACCAACCTGCCACGGCCCGTGAGGAAGTGTTAGCAAGAACTCTGTGTATGAAGTTGGACATCGTGTGACATCGCCTAGGCATTGGGTGGCAACCTCATCACCCCAAGGAAACCAAGGAAACTTATTTCCCCTGCACCAGGTGCGTGTTTCCATGTCCATGTCATTGAAAACATGTGAAGAAACGGTCTTTTCATGTCTTTTCCATGGGGTTCCACATGATGGTAGCCTCTGATATATGCTTCATTTCCGATCCGCTTCCGAAATCCGGCATCTCTCTCCTCCCAGAGATGATCTGAGTGTGTGTTTCGTCCAGGGACACCAAAACCCTCCAAGGGGCACAGAGCCCACCTGGGACCTAGGGCAGTTGGTGAATGTTTGATGCCGGAGGCCACTGGCGCCACTGGCGCATATCCGTGGCTCAACTCACTTGGCCTACCAGTTCCATCTTCCTCGGCTCCTTGGACCCCCTTCCCCCGGCCTCGGTGGTCTAGGAATCAGGCAGGAACCTGCGGCAGGATGGGGCAGCCATCTGGATCCAGTCGGATCCAAGACCCAACGACAAAGGAATGAGTCCAGCCAGAAAAACCTTGCACGAAGAGCTAACAAAACAGGGTATGGTAGATGTAGGATTATGTATCTGTATATAAATGTAATAGGTATATATGCTGATCATTTCTGGCTTCAGTCGGCCACGACCGGCTCCCTCAGATGTTTCTCTGAAGACTTTGGAAGTGTGTTCTACCCGGATACCTCGTATCCCAGATGCGATCTCTGCATCAAAGACCCCTTCCATGTTTCATGACCACTTCAAACCAAAGTCTAGCCCCCAAAAGACAACAACAGGAGGCCACCTGAAAAATGGCCAGGATCCCTCTGATCCTCCCAAGACTGATCCAAAGGATTTCAGAAGAGAAGAACGAGACCCAAAACATCCGGTTTGAACACATCTTGGATCCATATGTCCCAATCAACTCCCAAGCAAAAGCCCTGTGGGTCATGGTTTTCGGACCCTGGCATCCTTCCATTCCCGGGCCCTCCCTCCCGGGCCTTTCTGCCGATCCTGCCGAGGTCTCGTGACATCCGGTTGACATCGCTGACCAGGGACCCCACCACCCATTGTTGGGAAGCAGAGTCCTGTCTCAATGGAGTGTCTCAAACCATGGTGAAGGACACGTTTCAGACCATGACCGGTGGTGCAACTGCCATGTGCCTGGCATTGCTCACGATGCCCCACGAGGCAACATGCGCGTCGCAAAGTCGGTCTCCCTGACATGGGACCCATGTCATACCCTTCTTCAAACTCTGACCGAGTTCGGGGTACTTCCCCTCAGGGTTGTTCCAGAGTTGGGTGTTCTCCTGAATCAACCAACTTTCTTTAGAAAACGACAAACAAGGGAAAGCTTCTAGGAAGAACCACAGAGGTGGCCGCGAGCCCAGCTTTAAATCAGTCGACTTCCTTGGATGTTCTGCGCGACGGCGTAGTTGGGTTCTCTTGGCGCTGACGGCCCATCTCCCCTTGTGAGGCCCATCTCCAGCAGGCCGCAAGCCTTGGGCCTTTCCACACACCATCACGGTCAAGACTGAAAGGAACCATGCAACAGCCATTTCATCGTTTTGACATGTTTCGATCCTTTCAGGGGGCTTTTGGTTGGCTGGTATTCATTTCATCATTCATCTTGCCCAAAACATCCCAAAACTAGAAATGCACATCAAATCCACCACGGCGATTCCTTTTTCGTGTCCATGAATCTATCTAAATCCACCACGCTTCACATGGTTCGACCCATGACGTGACCACAACCCCAGTGACGGTCACCCGGGGCCCAACGCCCCGGGGAACCCCCGCGCGGGGTGACGTGGCACCTGCGCGAAAACCGAAACCGAAACCCGCGCAGTACATCTCCACAGGTCGTCCAGACCTCTTGCATCTTCATGGCGTGCAATCGGTAGTGTATGTGGCTCTTCTGGCACTTGCAACCACCTGGAGATGAAGAAACTTGACTGGTCAAGGCAGGGTGGGTCATGTTTCTTCCAAAGGACGGATGAAGTATAGAGTCTAGAGGCCCACAAAGAAAGACTGAACGCCTGAAAGATCCTGAAAGTGTATATATTCCAATTGCCTTGGAATGCCTTGGAATCCTCATTGCACCTACTAATCGGTCGCTCTGCTGCAGCGACCGATAAAGCGAACAAGAGCGATGTGGGACCGTGGCGGCGATCGACGGCTACAGCCAGCGAGCCGCTGAGTAAGCAAAGCATGCAAAGCACAGAGGAACGCAGAGCTGCAGAGCGTGGTATAGGAACAAGGTTCGCTACTATATGTGTATGTTCTTTTCCAATGTCTGTGTGTTTAGACGTGTGTTTAGACGTGTGCTTCAAGTAATGTAGGACCGAAGGAGACCGATTAGGGCGGGGCGGGCGCCGTTGTGGTTGACGTTCGTTGTGGGCCATTGAACGGAAGATGATATTGCTTCCTTCACGAGTTTGTTTCAGTACCGGAGGATCTTTTGGGGTGGTGCCTCGTGTATTCTTATATACCCTAGGGCTCCAACTACCACCTGAGGGGGTCAAGGTGGTTGGGGTGGGTGCCAGGGGGGTCTAACCACCTTCCGAGGATATGGTTGGAGCTTCTAGGGATACCTATGCCTTCTCGCTTTGGGTTTCCCATGGTTTCCCCAGTTCAGGCACGTTTGCGGCTTCCGACCCGCCCGGAGGCCAGTTCGGCCTCCACAGAAGCGAACGATGAACTCCACACCACCTGGCCACAGCAGTTGCCCTCCCAACAAACATGGAAGTAAAACAAATAGATCCTGTTTGCAAAGGAGAATGCCCATCAAAGGGGCCATGCCATCCACGTTGGACCATGAGAATTCCACAAGTATATTTGTCGAGTCTGACGCTCAGAAACTGTCATCCCAACCAGCACGTCCAGCAGACCATGGTACACCCCAACCAGGACAGCACGTACAGCAGGCTCTCAGTCAAAGCTCCGGCAACCGGACGGTGGGTCAGGACCGCGGATCAGGACGGAGGTGTGTGCCGATTTCGGATCTGTAGAAAGCAGTGCAATGGAGTGCACCTAGCGCTTCCAATGGATGTTCAATGGTGACCTATAAGCAGTGTAGGGCTGTCCTGTCCGGTATCCCCGAACGGAAGCAGCTGGTATGACTTCTCACTAAAAACAAACATTAAAAACACTATATAGTTAATCACAACGGACTGAGGCCAAAAACATGAAATCCCAACGACTTTAGCATACTTTAGCACCTGGCAGTATCATCAGTACCCCCCTTTTGAAAAGTGATTAAACATGTCTGCGCTGAACAGGGAAGCGCAGGTCTTTTGGCTTCACGTGCAGCTGGCCACAGTTTGTCCACTCGACCGACAGTTGACTTGACTCGGGTCCTGAGCAAAACGCTAAGCTTTGGGGCAAAAGAGAAACATTTTGAGGTTTCTCTAGCTTGCAAGTGGAGTGATTCCCATATTCTCATTGCCCTCCCGGTCCCCCAAAATATCAACATGCCCCTGAAGAACCTTCACAAATACCCCCACATCATCCCACATCTCTCTCTCTCTCTCTAAACACCCTCAACCTGAAGAAGTGGAAAACCCAGAACCACTAGAGTCATTGAGTCCCAATCCGCCTTGCCATCGTGGGAGTAGGTCACTAGCCTTTGCCTCATGTTCACCTCTTTCCATTCGCACACCCGCAGCTGAGTGAGGCACCCCCAACCCAGACGCTGCCGGGCCCCCACCTACACGAATCCAGTCGCCGCAGCTGAGAGTCACGTTGGAGCCTCCGACCGATCCGCAGATGAAGGCTAAATGGAGGGTGTGTGGAGAAAGGGGGTCAGCAAAAATTGCTTATACGAAGTTAGTGCATCAAAAATACCTTCCACGAAGTTCTGCGAAGGTTTCTGGGATTTCGTTGCAGTCAGTTCTCCTACTGGCCCACCATTCCACGAACTGTCCACGAACAGCCTTGGGTTCTACGAAGGTCACGCGCCTTCCACGACGTTAGTAGAATAGGTTTTTGCAAAACCCTTTCTGTGCACTACCCTTCCGTTTGCCTTTGAGCAGAGGTGACGCCCGACGTTTCTGCCGCTCCCGACGAAGGGCCGCTGCTTTCACTGCCGCGCAGAACAGGCTGGGCCAATTGGGGTCTCCCCCCCAGAAGCCCAGAAGAGCAACGTCAAAAGCCTGTCGTTCGGGTGGGTGGCTGTGTTCAGACTCGCAGAGACTTCGCGGTTTTCGCGGAGACTTCGGAGAGACCTGGGAGGCCCGGGCCAATCTTGACGAAGGTTCCCCACTTGGAGCCCGCGTCCATGATATAGAACTGATCTGTGTCCTCACAGATGGAGACACAACGAAAGTTCTGTTGGAGTGTTTTTCTTCTCGGGGAGTCGGGGGATGAGTATGGATTGCATTGGATTGTGTTGGGAACTTTGGACTGAAAGATATGATAATTTTTTACAAATTGGTTGCTGCCGAGATCTGTCAAAAGAAACAAGATCTGTCCTAAACATGACTCTTCAAACTCTTCTCACTGAAACATCGGGCTCTTCTCCCTGGTTTTTGATGCAAACAATTTGAGTTTGCGGGGTGATTTGGACCAAAAGACTAAGTTTGATACCAAACCTTATCCAAACCTCATGCGACTCAGGAGGTTTAGAGGTTTAGAGAGCCTCCAGTGACATCTGTCAGGGGTGAAGCAAGATGTTTGAAGAGGCGGTTGCAAAGACCAGTTCGTTCAGTCTTGGAGCTTGAAGAATCAAAGAGGATCAAAGAAGTACATTTTCCCGCTAGACTTGGGGCTAGAGGGCTCATGAACAATGGTGATTTCGTGCGACTTCTAATGGTGATGGAATGAACAAGAAAAGATGGTTTCGTTTGTTTCGAACTTGGAGTTGGCAGGTGTGGTGAGAGGTACATTCTAAAGAAAGAACATCTTCTTTCGCTCCCTTTCAAACATGCCCAACAGTTCCATTGAAAGACTTCGTTCCCCTATGGACGCTCCAGCTTCGCCCTGCCGCAACTAGAGGGTTTCTCTTGGAACAAGAACCCAACAAAAAACCACATCCTTCAGGTTTCCTCCCCACCCTCTCCTGATCGTGGATCACATTGAAATGTGATCTTGATGCAATCGGCTCCGACATCGGACAGTCGGGGACCAAGGTCCTACCACCGCGCCGCGGGGAGCTGCGCTCGCTTCACTCGCTTCACTCGCCCTTGAGGGGGTCCGTGAGGAACACTCTCATCACTCTCTTTTGGGCTCACACATGCCAAGAAAAACACCATCATAGTAGACATACGGTATAGACATGTATAGACCAAAAGCCATCACCCATCAACCGAAACATCCTTCATGATACCAGTAAGTGATAACTCTTGATGTCTGATTGAAAAACATATATGATTTCCTCCAGTTATTTGATCCCTGCCTTGGTGCAACAAAAAAATGAAACCTTTCGACCCACAGACTAATTTGGCCTTTTCTGCTCAGAGTCTGCTCTGCATTGACCGACACGCGATGCCAAAAACGCATGATTCTCTCACAATCTGTCACAGCCCACGGCGCCGCCCACGTCTCCCGACCTCTTTGAGGAATTCCGCCCGAACTTCGTCACGCCGCTAAAGCGGCTGCCTGGGACGGGGCCATGAGCGAGCAGCGAGGGGCGGGCGTTTCGTGAGGGGCGGGCACCTCCGGCGTTTCGCGAGGATCCGCCCTCGGCATGACCTCCAGGAGATCCCAAGGGCCTTATCAAATTATACCAATTAGCCAGCACCATGGAAAGATTACCGTATTGGATGGAAAATACATGAAAATCTGTGCAAATTAAAATGATTCTTACATCCTTTCCCTCGCTTTGGAATTCGCATCCCGGGGTTTAGCACCTCGCCTCGTTATATACGGTTTTGAAAATATTGCCTTGCCTCGTTAGTACTACCTCGTGCAGCAACTTAATTCTGAGGGGCTTAGGTGATGACGGGCGGGTAGTAGTAGTAGTAGTAGTAGTAGTCGTAGTGGTAGTCGTAGTCGTAGTCGTAGTCGTAGTCGTAGTAGTAGTAGTAGTAGTAGTAGTCGTAGTAGTAGTAGTAGTAGTAGTAGTGGTGCTGGCCGTCCCCTTTTTAAGCATCCGAACTCCGTGGTGCTGGAGGTCTTGACCTCTTCCCTTCCTACCCCTTCATCCGTCCATCGTCTTCTCGTCTTCTCCAGGTTACCATTGGCGGCCACGACCAGTGCTGGCAGCGCAGAGAAATCCACCGCAGCCTGCGTCAAAAGGCAGAGACTGAGACCGAACCAACCCACGCAACCCAAACCGTTTTGGCCCAGGCCCGGTCGGAAGTCGGGGTGGTTCATGGACACCCCAAACCGAGGGCCCTGGAACATGACACCTGTTTAAAATTCATAGCGATCGGCGGTGTTCTGTGTGGTTGGAGTGTGTGTGTGTGTAACCTTTGGAATCCGAGGAACCTGTTGGTTTCGAGCAGGGGGCCAAGGCGTGATATCACCAACGAAGCTGGCTGATATCGCGGGATATGGGACTTGGCCAGTCCCATGTACCTGCTCTAATCTAGCGGTAACAGGAGGAAGGGTTCGTCGGCAGACTTGTCTGTCGGTTCCCTTCCTTCTTTTACCCTACTTCTACTTACTTGTAAACTGGCAATGCTGGCCTCCAACCTGGCGCCATGGCCTCTAACGGACTAATGATGACCTCCAACCTTGTTGCTTGATGCGTTTTGAGTTTGTGTCTTGTAAACTTGTAGCGCTGGCCCCCAACCTGGCGCTATGGCCTCCAACCCATTAGCGATGACCTCCAACCTTGTTGCTTGGTGTAGCTTTATGTTTGTGCGCATAACCGACTAGCGATGGCCTCCAAACTTGGGCAATGGCCTCCAACTTTCTAGCGGTTGCCCACCTTTGCCGTTTAATTGAGCAATTCGTTGGCCTAGGTTGGCGTGTGGCAAACCGCGTCAGTGTCCGTATACCATATCTTAAGTGTGTCTGGCTTCACGCCACCCCAGGGTGAGCCCGAAGAGTGCACCCTGTGGACCCGTCGAACGGGGGTTTGTCAAACGCATCCCCTGCCCGGATACAGAGCAGTCCGCAGCGGACGGAGTAGGCGGACGCCAAAGTTATTTGCCAAGACTTGCTGAAGTATTGAGAACAAGAAGGCAGTCCTCGGACCAGCCATGAGGTGACCATAGCGGTCTGAGCAGCCAGCCATTTTGGAACGGCGTACGTGGCCGTAGCGGCCGAAGCTATTTTAATTGGGACCTGTCGGGGCCTTAATCCTTTCCTCCCCTTTCCCTCCCCGCTCTTCCTTCTTTGCCTTTTGGGGTGTTCATGCAACACTCAGGCGCACCCCTCTCCCTGGTGTGTCCCTGGACGCTTGTTTCGTAGCTGAGAACACCTGTCCCCTTCCCCTTCTCTTTCTCTTCATCTTTCTCTTCCACGTTATCTTTCTCTTTCTCTTTCTCTTTTTCTCTGTTTCTCTTTATTTTTTCTCTCTTTCTCTCTTGCTCTTTTTCTCTTTCTCTGTCTTTCTTTCGTCTTTCTTTCTGTCCTTCTTTCTGTCTTTCTTTCGTTCTTTCTTTATTACTTTCTTTCTGTCTGTTTGTCTGTCTGTCTTTCTTTCCTTCCTTCCTTTCTTTTCTTTCTTCCTTGCTTTCTTTCTTTCTTTCCTTCCTTCCTTTCTTTCTGTCTCTGTCTCTCTCTTTTTCTCTTTCTTTCCCTCCCCCTTCCTTCTCCCTACCCCTCCCTCCCTCGTGCGCTGCGTGCTTGCAAACAAACGGGGCATTTACAACAGGTTCTTCAATGAGGTTTGGCTGCTCATCAGTTGGTCCCCTTTCATTTGGTTCCCTCTTCACTGCACACCCCCCCGCAGACTTCTTGTCCTTCTTTTCTTTCATGTCCTTTCCGTCTTCATGCCCCGTCATCCTCACCCTTTTCTTCTCTTGCGCGCACATCGGTCCGGCCCTTAGCTTGTGCGCACACACGCACGCGTATTCTACATCAAGCCAGGTTCAGGTGCCCCAGGTTTGTTACAATGAGGTTTGGTTCATTGGCTGTCCCTCTTAACTAGGTTTCGTCTCTTTCATGTTCATTTGTCCTTTTTGCGTGCGCATGCGCTCGCATTACCCCCTTTCCGGGCAGGATGGGGCTCCTTTCCGGGCAGCATGGAGGCCACACATGCCTCCCTTGCGGGAGGTGTGTGTGTGTGTGCGTGTGCAAGCCTTGGAATGACAGGGAACCCGTTGGTTTCGAGCAGGGGGTCAAGGCGCGATATCACCAACCTTGACCAACGAAGCTATCGCAGGATATGGGATTTGGCCAGTCCGATGTACCTGCTCTAATCTAGTGGTAACAGGAGGAAGGGTTCGTCGGCAGACTTCCGCGTCCCCTTCTTTTACCCTACTTCTACCTACCTGTAAACTGGTAATGCTGGCCTCCAACCTGGCGCCATGGCCTCTAACGTACTAATGATGACCTCCAACCTTGTTGCTTGATGCGTTTTCAGTTTGCGTGTTGAGTTTGTGTCTTGTAAACTAGTAGCGCTGGCCTCCAACGTGCTAGCGATGACCTCCAACCTTGTTGTTTGATGCTGTTTTCAGTTCGTTTCTTGTAAACTTGTAGCGCTGGCCCCCAACCTGGTGCTATGGCCTCCAGCCCATTAGCGATGACCTCCAACCTTGTTGCTTGGTGTAGCTTTATGTTTGTGCGCATAACCCACTAGCGATGGCCTACAAACTTGGGCGATGGCCTCCAACTTTCTAGCGATCCCACCCTTGCCGTTTTACTCAGGCAATTAGTTTACCTAGGTTGGCGTGTGGCAAACCGCAGTGTCCGTACACCATATCTTAAGTGTGTGTGTGTGTGTGTCAAAGCCTGTTTCCAAGGCTGCATACAATGTCTAGCATGTAAAACCATTTTAACAGCGCGAGCAAAATTGGCAGGGGACCAGGCAGGACACATCGTCGCCTGGTCAATGAAGCTGGCGATGTATCCGAGGATATGGAAATGGGACGCCATTTCCACGTACCTGCAAACTTTTTAAAAGCTTTGGAAGCCTATTCCGTTTCACCCCAATGTTAAACCATTCAAGTGACGCGGACTCTTTCACCTTTCCGTTTGCAAGTCAAGGTCTACAATGCAGCTGGTATTGTAATCGCTAAAGTTTGACTTCACTCTGTCACTCTGAACTTAGCTCTTGCGAGCAACCATCTAAGTGTGTGTCGGTCGCCACAGAGTCCCACTGAGGGCTGTGGTGTGATCCCCATCGAGGGGCGCAGCATGTGCACAGACCCAGATCCTGGGGGACCCACCCTGATTGCTCCGCCTCTGCACTGGGACTTCGTTCTGCAACCCCCTTGATTGACTGCTTTGCATGATACCACTGATACTATGCCGCAGGGCTTACTGAGATCAAATTCCAGTCAGGATTCCCGCATGCTGCTAAGTATTCACATGTCCACGTCATGCTGCTAAGTATTCACAGGCCGGAAGAGAGCGAGAAACGAGAGTGAGTTTTTTGGTCCGTTTGGCTGTTCTTTCCTACTGTTGCTTTTCTTTTTCTGGAGGCCTTTCTTTAGGTTTCTTTAGGTGTCAGTCAAAGATGTGCCGAACGCGGTTTTACTTGATGCTGCTAAGTATTCACAGGCCGGAGGAGAGCGAGAACGTGAGTGACACTTTTGGTCCGTTTTGTTTTTCTTTCCTGCTGTTGCTTTTCGTTTTCTTGAGGCCTTTCTCTAGGTTTCTTTAGGCTTCAGTCAAAGGTGCGCCGAATGCGGCTTTACTTGAACGCCAGTGATGGCCATGCCTTCGGGCCACCCCAACCCACCCTCCCCCTACCTCCTTGCCCCTGGCCTTGGTTGCTATCCCACCCGCTATCTAGGGTAACCGAAGGAAATCTCACTCAACACACTTGTGTGTTGGTGCCTTTCCTTCTGTTTCTCCTGTCCTAGTCCTAGCTACCCGGGCGGTCTAAGACTAAAGTCCCGCTCGCTAACTATTGCACTTAATTCGTGTAACTAGAAGGCTTCGTAACTAGTGGGCCTCGTAACTACTCCTATCTTTCTCTCTTGCCCTCTTCGTTTGCTCTTTCTGTCTTTTCTTTCTCTTTCTTTCTGAGGCTTGTTAGGTGGCTAGTACTTTCCTTCCGCGCCGCTATCGGCGTGATGTGTGTGTCACAGCCTGCTTTTAAGGCTGCACACATTTTCAAGTTTTGAAGCCAATTTTAATCGTAGGGGCGGTAACTAGAGGTCCAGTAACTGGGGGGCCTCGCCACTACCCCTACCTTTCTCTCTTGCCCTCTTCGCTTGCTTTTTCTTTTTCTTTTTCTGTCGTTCGAAGGCTTGTTAGGTGGCTAGTAATTCGTCTGAGCGCCGACATCGGCGTCGTGTGCGTGTCAAAGCCTGTTTCCAAGGCTGCATACAATGTCTAGCATGTAAAGCCAATTTTAACCATGCGAGCAAAATTGGCAGGGGACCAGGCAGGACACATCGTCGCCTGGTCAACGAAGCTGGCGATGTATCCGAGGATATGGACATGGGACGCCATTTCCACGTACCTGCAAACTTTTTAAAAGCTTTGGAAGCCTATTCCGTTTCACCCCAATGTTAAACCATTCAAGTGACGCGGACTCTTTCACCTTTCCGTTTGCAAGTCAAGGTCTACAATGCAGCTGGTATTGTAATCGCTAAAGTGGGACTTCACTCTGAACCCAGCTCTTGCGAGCAACCATCTAAGTGTGTGTGTTTCGCAAACTTCTCCCTGTGATGGATGGCTGCCCCACACAAATCCTGAGAACAGCTTTTTGAACTGTCACTGATCCTATCTGTTGGGCGATGCTTGGATGAGTCTTTGTTCTACTCACCATGCCGAACTCCGCCTGGAAAAAAAAACACCCAGAGATCGTGGTGTCTTTTCTACTTCGGAAGCACGTCCAGCCAGCCCCGGTGCCGGTGACACAGGCCTCTTCTCTTGGAGAGCCCGGTTCGAAGGCCTGTGGCGGTTTCGCAGCTGACGGCTTTCTGGGAACATGCTCTTCAAAGCTCGTCACGGCGCGCGTTGTGGCCGAATTGTTAACTTGTCCCCTTCGTCGTTCGGGTGGGAGCCCACTGTCCAGAGATTTGCCAAAAGGACTCCAGGAGCCTAAAACTGCGGATTCGCTTGGCCGCGAACCGGGATCTGCCCAGGAGTCTCGCCCGGTTCGGCCACTGAGTGATCCAACCGTCTAAGAACACTTAGAGAAATTGCACTCCCCATCACGCCCCCGCCCCCACAGGTCGTGCTGCTCAACCCTTGAACTGCGCCCAAAGAGAGTTGTGATCTTCCTCTCTCCCTCACCTGCGGCTTCTCATCATGAGCGCAAGGCATCTGCAAGACAGGCCGGTTTTGTCCCAAATCGCCTCAGTTGGCTCCCCGGGTGACGCAAAGAGCAACGCCACGTGTTCGGCGGTGTTCGGCGAGAGTCGCGGGTCCGGTCCGGAGGATGTGGGCTCGGTGAAGTCGAAGGCTGGCCCCAAAGAGACACCACACCGCAGGTCCTTGCCTAAGAAGAAGAAGAAGAAAAAGAAAGAAGAAGAAGCCCACAACTGCAGGTGTTCTTACTCAAAGATAGTGAGACTTCCACACCCAAACCTTCTGATTGCCCGCTAACCTTCTTTGGCGCCCCTAACCAAATGCGAGAAACCCTCACCCACCCACCCCATTGCCCAAAGCCCCCTCCTTCAGAGCGGCTTTGCCAACCACCTTGGGGACCCCTGCCACTCACCACGCGGAAGACCAGGGAACGACGAGTGCAGGAAATACAGCTGTCCACCTGGGAGTCGGCGACCGGATGGGGGCCGCGTGGCGCCTTGCCCATCCCCCCCGAGCCGCAAGCGTTGGAGGCCACCTCCGGTCCTGGAGACTGGTTCATCTCCGACCCGGTGCCCGGGTAGATATGAAGTGATGCCCTCATGGCGAACCAAACCATTGGACCGTGATTGACTGAGGACATTTGGCCAAGCAAGTTGAACTTTGAGAAGTTGCGTTGTTTAGCTCTGTTTAGCTAAACACAACTTCCAATCCAGCACCTCAGCAGCTAAGATCCTAAAATGGATGTGTTTGTTTGAACCAGGCTCTTCAAAATCTAATGTTTAAACAAGTTCAAACGACCAACGCCTCGATGGTGTTGTATCTCCCTCGTCCGATCGCCTGGCCTTTCATGGTTCGGTCGGTCGAAACACCGCGGCACCTCCGTTCGATGCTGCGGCGCGGTTCGGTGCCCCGAAGCCGAACCCCCAAACCTGACTGGTGCCACGAAAGTAAGCCATGAGGGTGGGACTCCAAAAAGGAGTCTCTCGAGATCGACGATGGGCGAACCATTGGTTCGGCTTTTCCCTGCTCTTCGGCACCCAGTCAGGGCGCCCACCACGGCAGCCGCCAACGTCTCGCCCCGGGCATCAGCCGATCGCTGCCGGGTCTCCGGGCCGCGCGGAGGGCAGACTCCCGCTGAGCGGACATCTCAGGGCTCACCTGGCACCGTCCGGTGAGAGCATGCGAAGCCAGACATTGGGGTGGTTTTCCTGCAGCAAAATGAAATGGTTTGCAACAACTGTCAGGCAGGTTGGTAGACTAGGAATCTACATTTATCGACCTTGATCGACAGATCTGTCGCCTCTTTCCAGGTTGGGCTCGGTAGTAGAGTCAACATGGTGATGTCGACTTGGGATACGTTTTGGGATACGACTTGGGATATGACTTGGGATCACCTCTTACCCACGGTGGGGGCCAGTTGTCCTAGCAAAACTGCACACTTCCTACCTTGCTCTTCTTCTTGGGTGGGGAGTGGGACTAACGTACTGTGGGTTATCCATGAACTTCTCGCGTTCAAACCGTACTCTCATGTACTCTCTAAGTGCTGGACCTTAGCTACTCAATGATGCAACCTAAATCACCTAAACCCAGGGAGCTCAAAACCCAGAAGGACTTCTTCACCATCACTTCACACTGTGTACATAGAGAACGCATCCCAACTCGCATCATATTCAGGGCCGTGTTCTGGCCCTTTCCAGGCCCATTTCACCGCACGAAGCTCGCGCGCATCGCGCGCATCGCTCTTCCGAAGACGCCGGGCTGCCAGACACCTGCCTCGTCTTCCAAATCGATCCACCAGGGCTTATGTGAAGCACACAGGTCCGTGACGAAGTCATCCCATGACTCGGCCCGGCGTGCCGCACCGCGCCGCGGCGACGACGGACGCGCAGGATCTGAAGTTAGCCGGGACAAAGGGGCATGGGATCCAATCATAGGCATCCAACGAACGGTTAAGCCCTAAGGACGATGATGATCTGTTGGGCCAAAATCACATTGGCCTCAGAAGCGAGAGCATGAAAATGACTGAAATCTAAACATGCAAAAAACGCATTCTGTTGGGAGCATCTCCCCATCCTGACTGACCTTGCTTTGTCTGTCCACCAAGCTGATGCGTGGGATCTACCGTTTTCATCCACCAAGCTGCTGGGTGGCACCCTCTTCATGAGTGCCACAAACATCGTACCCAGCGCAACCAGCCACCTACTAGAATCTAGAAGAAAGAGATGCCTGCCTGCCTCCCTGCCTGTCTGCTTGCTTGCGCCAACATAAACATGAAGGATGTCGCATGTCGCATGTCACATGTCATCCAAAGAAAGCTTGGTCACATCCACTCTTGCCCGGCCCCAAAGGGGTATATCTTTCGGCCCAAAACCCCCTTGGGGCGTGCGGCCATACGGGAGCCATCACGCGCGCCGTGGGGCGCTCCTGGCAGGTGGTGGCAGGTGGCAGGTGGCAGAGGTTTCGTGGCGCTTGCGTGGCACGTTTCGTGCCCCTTTGAGATGTGACCTGCATGATCCTGCATGTCTCAAGAAAAGAGAAGAACCTCACATGAAACCAAAGACAAAGACTTTTTCAAGACCGCTGGATGGTCGATCGTTGGTGTTCTCGTCTCTGTTGGTGTTTGTGTTGGCCGAGACGGGCCAAGACGGGGCTCTTCGAGGACGGGTTGTGTCGGAGGCGAAAGGATCGTCTCGAAGTGAATCGGGGATGAGTTAGGGAGGTCGTTGGGATGATTTTGGAGTGCAGGAAAGACATGGAACAGGAAGGAAAAGAACACTAGTGAAGAAAAGGCGGAAGAGAACCAGCACCATCCAGGACCTACTCTTCGAAACAGAGATAACACAAATAACTCAGATATATATAACCATGATTTAGACACGTTAGGAAGCCAACAAGGCCTTGTTGGCTTGTCTGGAACGGCTTCTTGGCCTCCCATGGTCGACCTTGGTGCATCCTGGAGACTAAGCACCACTAGGCCCTCCTCTCGCCCTCCTGGGACTCCTCCTCTCTCAGGTGCGAAAACATCGCAATCGACCCCACGTGCTCTGCGAGGATGGCACGGCATGTCGTCATGGCCCGACCGAAAAAGACCCGCTGCCATCCACGTAGCCATTCTTTCATTCCTCCTAGCCATTCAGGGTGCCTTTCTCCCACTTTGATGGATCAAACTCAAGGAGTGTGCTGTGTTCCTTTCCGGATCGCACGTCCGCGACCGGTCCTCGGACCGGCGAGGACCGGTCCGAGACTCGGACCCCCCGGAGAGGCCTGTGGGATGACGCACGTCGGTCTGCGTGGGGATGGACATGTCGTCATCCGCTGCGCTGTGCGCAAACCTCGGACGTGGTCTTGTTTGAGGGGGTGGCCGGGGTGACTGCTTCTTGTTTGGGGGGATAGTATAGTGGTGTAGTATAGTATAGTATAGTATAGCATAGTATAGGTATAGTGACTAGTGACTAGTATGGTGTAGCGTGGTATGGTGTAATAGTGGATTGAGATGATTGATGGCGTGGTAGGGGTGGTAGGTCAAGGCATTTAGATGATATTCTGATACTATTCTTGTTTTCACACATACTCAACCATGCTCAACCAAGTGGATGAAGTCTCCGTGACAAAAGCAGCTTTCGCGCTCCGTTTCGCTTCTCCCGGTCAACATTCGCTGCTCAAAATGCATCGCATCTGCTGAGATCCCCCTGCGGAACCCAAGGCTTCGTTGCCTGGCCAGCGAAGGGCGAAAAGCGCTCGTTGAGGTCCATGCTTCTTTTCTTTCCCTGGCGATGGCCTCTAAGAGCGATGGCCTCCAACTTTCTAGCGATGGCCTCCAACATACTAGTACTAGGGTTTCAACTACCTCCTAAGAAAATGGTTGGGGAGCCCTTCTAAGGGTATGGTTGGAGCTTGGTGGCGGTTTTGGTGTGCAACTCTTTCGCTCCGAAATGCCCTGGATGAATGCCCTGGACCATGGAAAAAGCTCCTTCCTATATAGTAGTAAGACCAGGAGCCCCTAGTAGCGTCCTTGCTCCTAGTAGCGATGCCCTTTGCTCCTAGTTGCATCCTTTGAATGCCTTCGAGCGAGACGCTTGATGCTCTTCGGCATCTTTAGAATTCCGTGGTCCAACGGTGGCTTTAAACAGCGGCCCTGGTCTTCTACGCTTCGTTCTGCCTGAACCTTTCAGGCTAGCAAAACCTGCTCCTTTCCTTCAGCTTGCACGGAGATCACATAAAGTGCCAAACCAACATCGTTGCTTCACCTTCTTGTCTGACCTTTCAGCACTTGGGCAGGTGAAGTCGTACCCCACACAGCACATGTTTCCGGGCACCCATTGGTGAAAACTCTGTGCCTATCTGAGGGTGGCAAGTCAAGTCAGAAGTTCGAATGCAACCTCATGCCCTTTCCTCCTCCACCCCAAGCCACCCCGGCCACCTGTGGAGTGGGCTGCGGCGATGGGAAGCCCCTGGCGATGGGAAGCCCACTCATGCGTGAGGGGCGGCACTTGTGGATCACTCCCGTCACATGTAGAGAGTGACTGAGATTGAAAAAGCCCCAAGCTGTGGGGCAACAAAATATGAACATGTTGGAGGAGAGGATGGGAGAGATACACGGCGGCCTTTTTTGGTTGAGTGTTTGGGGAGAGATACTGTAAAAAAGAAGCCGTTACACAGTCAAGGACGACTGCCTGCCCTTCCAACAAGCATGATAAGGCAAAACCGTGCTGGTGTGTGAGAGAGAGAGAGAAGTAACATGACTGTACCCTGCAAAGAATTACCATGTTGGCCACTGATGATGCCATGGACACATTGAGGCACCTGAAAAATGTAGCTCTTCAGAACCTCAGCTAGTGGGCTTGAGCAACAAAAACACCTACAGTAAATGCCCCAACACAAGGGAACAACAATAAGCAACCTACTCTCCCGCAAGACGAAACATGCTCCCTCCAAAAACGCGTGACCCGCATCGAACGAGTGAAGAAAGAAGAAAAAACATCTAATAAAGAGATCCTAAGAGCTATTATGAGCCAATTGCTTCCAAGTCATAAAAACAGTCCAATCCCATCTGTCCAAATCTTCGGTTCTTTTGGGACCTCAAAACCAACGACGAACCGACCCGCAGCGACCCGCATCGTCACCGCCCCTCCCCCAGCACCACGCTGGTTTGGCCACTCAGGAGCCCCAAGCAGCCGGTGGTACAAGCGTGACGGCTCAGATCCAGCGTTGGAAGGCCGACCTTGGCTCCGATTGGCTCACGATGTCTTGCGATGGAGTCGCTGCAGGTCCGACGGTCGGGAGAAGGACCTGGAGGACCTGGAGGACTGGAGGGTGCATCATCTCGAAGTTTCGCTGGAGCGCGGTCCCCGCGAAGATCGGGCCAACGCGCAGCGAATGATGCGCTTCGTGCCGTGCTTCTTCTAAGTGGTTACAGCTTTGCGACCTCCGCCCGCCCCGGACAGGCGCATCCTTTATTGCGCGTGCCGTCCTCAAAAAAGAAAAACGGAACCGTGGGCTGTTCTTTCCGCCAAAAAAGACAAGTCCCCTCAACAGGGACTCTTTGGGGCCCCACCCACCCCCCCGTCGCGGCTGGCCACCCATCCGCCGAGCCACGCGATGCACACGGATGCCACTCGGAGACATCCACCTGCACCGCAGGCAGCGAGGAACGGCCGTGGCCCTGGAGGCCGCGGTGGTTGGGCGAAGAGGAGGGGGGGTTGAGCCAACGAACGAGAGAACGGGTTGGGACGTTGTGAGAAAACGCGTGGGAAAAAGCGTGGGAAATCACCATGAAGATCCATGAATCACCCCCCTGAAGAGAAGAAGTGGGTGTCGATGTTGATGGGTTTCTTTCACCACTTGAAGACATGACTGGATGTTCACGTCATGACTATCATGAATCCTACCCACCGGTCGACGACTTTGTGAGCCAAAACAGGTGAGACTTCCGAACGTGCCAAAAGATCTATAAGTCTACAACCAGTTTTCCCAAGCACAACATCTTAGAAGTAGATCAACAAGCTGGCAACAGAGCTTGCTCCGAATTCTTCCGTAATTCTTCATGAACTTCCACATGTGCCCCGTTTGAAGTGGATGAGTTGCCCAACAATCTACCCTTTACTAAATAAACAAGCCGCACAAAAGCTGCCACAAGGATGGCGCGCAGCCTCGATCACCTCGTCCTCCTCGAGCGGCTCCCTGCGGGAAACCCCCGTCGGGAGCACGGGGAAACCCCCGATGGATACCAGAAAGACTCGGAACGAGGACGGTGGCTTCCAGCAGACGAGATCGGCTTCCATGTGATCGAAGTCCTTGCGGAACTTCCAGACGGGGCCAATTTGTCTTGCAAACTCTAAGTGTCCTTCAAATCCTGAAGCCTCATGATGGCATCATTCAATCGACTTGACTTGGAGTCCATGGTGAGCATGGTGCATAGGGGGGAAACAGATCGATCTTCCAGCGTGAAAACGTGCGAAATGCGAAACACTCCCCCTTCCGCTCCATGGACCCCTCAGGTGGGCATGTCACTTCCACTCCAACAACGTCACCGTGCCTATAGATGCACCCAGGCAAGTTGTTCAAAACCTGGCGCAAGCGTTGGGTTTCAGCGGCATTAGAGCATTTTGCTGTCGATCTGTCCTCTCCCGGCGTCTGATCGCTGTCGCGAAGCCTGTCTGAGACGCAGTGGAGAAAGGAATGCCCTCCCCACAATCATCATGGTTACGTAGATGGCACCTCCTGTTTGGTATTGGCAAAATGGTCATCCGAGCGAAAAGGGCCATGCCATCCACGGAACCATGATGATTCCAGGGAGTTGTAGAGCGCAGCTTGTATCTGGGAAACAACATGAAACAACAATTTGATCATTGAGGCTACGATGTAGAATGGGCAAAACACAACAAGCTGCTGGGCACCTTCTGCTCCCAACAACTTGGGGACTCCTTGGACTCATACCAACTCTCAGTCACTTCTATATATATTATCGATAGATAGATATATAGATGATGTGAAATGAGCTGTCTGTATGCTGCAGTGGATTGTGGCATTTTTCCTGAGAGCTGACGTACGAGTAGTATGAAGGGCTACCAAAAGATGCTGCTTGTGCTTTTGCAAGGTCCTGGCGCACGTGCAGACTGCCATTTGATCGTGTCACATGTGGTCTGCAAGGAGGCGTGGTTGAAAGCGATGCCCCGCACATGCTTCTGTGCAAAAATGCAAAGCTTCCTCTGGTTGAGCCTTGCGCCTCAAAATCTTGCGTTCACATTCAAACCGCAAAGTCCACCCTGACACAGGCCCCCCCACTGGCCTCCTCAAGCAGGATATCCACAATGTCAGAGATCCTGGAAACGTGTGGCCGGTTTTAAAAGAAATCATGCCCAGCAGTGCAGCAGCTTCCACTGCTGTTCAACCTGACGACACTTTCCATCCCAAGGCAACCGCTGTCAGCAGAATAGAGGTAGTTAAAGCCCATGGACACCATCTTTCTGGAACCAACGGGGCGCTCCGAAGAACATCAGCATGGGGTACAAGGAACCATCAAGAACCCCAAAAATAAGACTTCGTTGCCGATATCTGCTCACAACTAGGATACCTACTCAGTCTTAATTGCTGCTATGGTGTAGAGATTTGGAAGAATGAAACCAACTCTGTGAGTCCTCCTTGGCCACCCTGGCTTGACCCACACGGAGTACGTAGGCGGGGTAGAGAACTCCACACACACCGAAGTGCTGTCCAGTGCTGTCCTGCTGTGTCCCTCCAGGAGAAGCTGCCAAGAATTCCGTGTCACCTGGCAGGCGAGAGCCCAGGTGACACGCTCCACGAGCGACCCGGTGACACCGAGCACAACCACCGGGTCACCGGTGTTCACGGTTTCTCCGAACCAAATAGCGTCGGAATGCGTCGGATCTCCAGCCGGAAGTTTCATGAAGTGTTTATAGATGGTAAAATAGATCTTGCATGACATACCCTTCCTGAGACCTTTCGAAGCAAAAGCTCCAACTTCGCTCTGCGGAGCAAACTTGGACGGTCTCACATCGGATCCTCCGATCGCAAACCACGGTGCCTGCTGGCTGCATGTCGGATCCACCTCAGCACGGTGGAGAGGGCGCGAAACGCTCAACCGCTTGCTCCGTGCAGCGGGGTGGGTGCCAGGCACGCTCAAATCCTGGTGATTGGTGGCGTGGCCGTGGCCGGCACGCTCGAATCCCACACTATTGGCTAGGTCACTGAAGACACCCATTCGTTCCACACCAAGTCCAGTGCTCCACACTGCTCCAAGTGCTCCCCATTGCTCCCCACCCACCCCCACCATGCCCTCTCGCTGCCCCACGCCGCTCTGCTCGGTACCCCCGAGCTGCCGGACCCGAAGCCGCAGTTGCCGTACCAAGTCGTTCGGGCAACGACCTTGCAGGTAGAAGTTCTCGAAGGCCTGGACCAACCCGGCAGACCCACCACCGGCCACCAGCGGCCACCAGCAGCCAGAAGCCGAAGGCGGAAGCCGAAGGCTGAAGCCGCCCCGCGGCCCGCGTGGTGCCACGGAAGCAAGCTTGGGGTAGGCGGCAGCAGAGTGTTGGGGTGGTCGGGGGGTGCCGAGTGGAGGCCGATCTCATAGGATCTCCTAGGATCCCCCTATGAGGGGTCTCTTGTTTCACTCCCTCTTCCAGATGGATGGACATGGAACCTACCAGCACATGTTGATATATATATATATATATAAACAGAAGCAGGCTGCAGCTCACCGAACCTGAAGCAGACGGCGTTGACTCAGGTGAGCTGGAACCGACTCCCAGGTGGACGAACGAGCGTATCCAAGGCCAGGTCACACTCATTGGCCCTCAAGCGCATTACCTCATGTCCAGCCTACATCTTTGAAGGCTACACCCGCTCGCAAAACGTAGTCTTTACATGTCTTTACCAAAATCAAAGACGTAGCCAACGGGAGTGTTGCACTGGGTAATTCCTGGGTCGATTGAGCCGATTATAGCCGATTGCATGAAACATCTGCCTACAAAGGATCTGACCATCTGCCATCGGTACCTGACCATCTTCCTTCCCACTCCTACACATCAAGGTGCCAAATCCCTCCCACTCTCGGCCCAGTTCACACCGGCCGCCGCGAGTTAGTTCACCGGAGCGTCGGGACCGGAAGCCTCGACAAAGTCGGGCCAGGCGATCTTGAAGAGGTGGCAAAAGCTGCTATCCCAAAACTTGACGCCCAGCTTCCCCTCGGAGCGTGAGGTCGTCTGTTCAACACGGCCGGGCTGGAGTGGGGGACCTGGGGAGGGAGCTAGCGGACGTGAACGGAGAATTTAGGCTCTTAAACTCTGTGACCCCAAGTCACTGTCCCAAAGGTTGTAGTAGAAGCTTAGGCCCACTTTTAGCTCCACTCCAAGCGTAGCTCTGGTAGTGAAATGAACACAAAAGTAAACCACAAACTTGAACAAACGGCTGCAGTGAAACATACATCTATACAAGCTATGTCATGTACATGTAACTGGTGCTACATCTGATCACGCCTCCCGAGTTTAACTTCTGGGAGATGTTAAACGAGTCAGGATTAGCACTTTTAGTGAATTAGCCCATAGCCCTTCAGTACATCTTGGTCTTGTAGAAGTACCTACTCTAGCTCAAGCCGTTCACGCTTTCAAAGTCAGTTCATGCTCACCTTCCAGGTAGTGGAAGTTCATGCCTTTCATAGCTGTAGTCATTTTCTCTTCGGTGACAGCTTTCGTTAGCACGTCGGCCAACATTCGGTCGGTGCCTTCTTTCTTGAGACGAAACTCTTTCTTTGCTGTACGCTCTTGTACCCAGTGGTACTGAGTGTCAACATGTTTAGCTCGTCCCAAGCCTCGACGGTTTCCCATGGCGATGCCAGCGGAAGCGTCCATTGTCACCTCTTTGCTGGGAAACAATCCCCAGTCTCTTGCTGTTGATGCGATTCCAAGCATTTGACATGCTCCAGAAACAAGTCCGTAGTACTCGGATTCGCCACTGCTCAGGGAGACAACTCCTTGGCCTTTGCTGTATGTTGTGAGACAGCATTTGTTGGCCATGAGCACGCCTCCTGACACACTCTTTCGTGTCCTTATGCAACCTGCATGGTCGGCGTCTGACCACATGTTGAAGGGGTTGCAGGTGCTTTGATTTGGAAACAACTGTGCAACTCTTGGTCGATACCTGACATATCGAGCCAATCGTTTCAGCATATTCCAGTGCCTCGATGTTGGGTTCTGTAGACCTTGTGCCAATGAGCGCGTTGCAGTTTGCAGATCAGGTCGATCCTGTGCCAAATACGCGGCTCTCATAGCAATAGATCTATACATCGTTGCATCTTCGGCACTCAGCGGAACTTCTTCGTGTTGGAGTTCCTCTTGACTTGGCTTGGCCAAAGGGGTCTTGACCTTGCCTGGTTGACCAGTGCCTAACCACTTAATGATCAACTCTGCATGTCTTGGATCTGGTTCCCACCAAATGCCTTCATTTGACCAGGTGAGGATGCGATTCAGCACTCTGATCTGTTGGCTTGCCTTTGGTGAACCTGGTGGACCGAGAATGCCTCGTTCCACAACTTGCCATTCTTTGGCTGCTGAAGTGTGAAACCATTTGATGTCATCAAAACTTCCAACTGTCGTGAAATCGTCTCCATGCACTTCTGTCCGAAGTTCTCTGGATGCGTGGTAGTAGATGCATGGATTGGACTTACCTTGAACAAATCCTAGCTTCTTCATGAACTCTGCAATGGTCAGCTCCCAATTCATGGGTGCGTCTCTGGTGCCGTAAAGGCTTCTGACCAATCTTCCTACCACATCTCCATCCTCTGGTTTCTTGCCTTCTGATGGAATTTCAACATAGAGTTCTCTTGTTGCTTTGGAGTAGAAATGAGCTCTCGTCACATCCAAAAATCCTAGGAAAGATTGCTTTGCTTTTCTTCTTTCGCCTTTCTCCAATGGAAGGCTGTCGCTGACTGCAATGGTTAGCAGTAGCTTCAAAGCTGCAAGGCTCGGCATGGCTGCGAAAAATTCGTCAAAACCTGAGCCTCTTTTGATCTCTTGCGCTACCAATCGACTTCTGTAGAGAGGATTGGTTTCATCTTGCTTGTTCACATCTACCCATCGAGTTCCAATGATTTTGGTTCCTTTTGGAACTTTGCTTCTTGGGATCTTTTCCCAAACTCCCATTGATTCGACAATGTCGATTTCATCTTTTCTGGCTTTCTCTACCTTCTCAGGTAGCAGCTCTTTTCCACTGATGTCATCATAGTACCACCAGTCTTTTGCCTCTTCTGCCATTTCTTCTGGCAGTGGGATCTTCTCTTCACACACTGGTTTCTCTGGGTCGATGCTAGATAGCACTCTCTCTCTGTCGTCTAGGATTAGGCTTTCTAGAGCCATCTCAATGCTTTGGATGTCTCTTGTTCTCTCGGCTTCATCTTCATGTTCGCCTTCTGCCTTTCTCTTCTTGTCTCTATCTACTCTGGCTTTTGCTGTGGGTGATCCTGCTGGTTCATGTTGTTCTTCGTGTTCTCTCTTTTCTCCATGTGGTTCAGGTTCGCGTGGTCTGCGAATACCTGATGCTGAAGCTGATGCTGTGCCTGGTGTTGGTGGTGCTGCTTCTGGTTCGTACCAAAGTTCGGTCACAATGTCCATCTTGTGTGGTAATGCTCCATTGAGTATCTCTGGTGGAAGGTCTGTTGTCATGACTCCACTCTCGATGATTGCATTGTTTGCATGGTTTCTTGTGACTCGGTGCCAGACGGTAGACCAATCAGGTCCTCCTGGCATGGTGGTTTGAAAACAGTAAGCTTCAACGTCAAGTCGTGCGAACACTCGACACGAATCGGGAACTCCCGATGGTCTTTTGCTTTCATATCCATGAAGGATTTGAGGTCTCTTGCCACTGACGGGTTGTGGCATGCCAGTGATTGCCTCTCCAACTCGGCTTTCATGTCTTGCTACTCTTGGGTTCTCTTCTTCTTCTCCTCTGATGCTCTCTTCAAGTCTGTCTCGACACCTGTTGGTGTGATGGATGCCTGTAGATCTCTTGCCAATCTGTGTGGCATCACAAGCTGGGCAACCTGCAGTATACCCAAACTTTTCCAGGTCTTTCTTGGTGATGTAAAGCCTTCTCAGCTTTCTTTTCTTGTCATCCATTGCCGGTGGTTGCACCAAAGCTTCACCACTTGGGCTGGCAATGATTGGTTCCCTTGGGGCTGCAATCGCTGGTTCTTCGCGAATTGCTTGAGGATCCCAGGGAATTCCAGTGATCGATTTCAGCAACTCTGAATCATATCGATCTTCTTCTGGCTTTCTCCGAATGGATTGCACTGTGAAAACGCCTGTGGAATTTCCTACTATCTTCTCTGTGGTGGTGTCTTTCACTCCTAGAAAAATTCCTTCGGTCCATTGGGCCTCGAACTTGTGACCTCTCTTGAGATATTCGATGGCCTCACCAAATGGTGGAATTGCTACTTTCCATTCACGTCCACGAAGTCGTGAATACGGAGTCTTTCCGTCTTGAAGTTCGGTGGATCGGAAAAACAGATTGTAGACTGTGGATGCGTGTTCAACTAACCAAGTCAAAACAGGTGAATCGTCAGGAAGTTTCCCACCATAGTTCGACTCGATTGCGGCTCGAAGAGTCCTGGCTTGTCCCTCCAAGGTTTGAACTGCTCGTTCAATCTCTCCCTTGGATTCTTTGACTCCTTTCGGGCTCTTCTCGATGATCAGGGTTCCTTCAAACCCATTCTTTACTGCCTCAACAACAGATGTGAGAGCAGGTTCAGGATCATGTCGAATGATCAGTTTGGAGTATCCTAGTTTCTTGATGTCGTTCAAAAGTACTTTGGATCCATATGGACCTTTTGTCACACCTTTGTAGGGCAACACATGAGCAAAAAGATGCTTCGTCCATCGATCTCTGACAACAAGACTTGGTGCATGGGTCTTCTCGTCCAAAACTACATCATCAGTTCGTGAATTCATGAAACAGTAGTCTACAGTCACTACTGGGGTTGTCTCATCGGTGTGGTCTATCTTCCTGTGGGGGTTTGCCTTAGCTTTTCCCCTTACACAGGCTTCACACCAAGACCTAAAAGGGAAGTGTGAAACAGCATGCTCTTCAAACTCTTTTCGCGTCGGGCGAATGGGAGCATGGATTTTGAGCTCAGGCGGCACTTCGTCGCCTGGCTCGGCCTCTTCGGCCTGCTCGTCCACTACCGGACTTACCCATTGCGGTGCCGGACGAAAGGGTGGAATGCAAGCGGCACAGAACAGACGCCGTTGCTGAACGAGATCGGAATCTTAGTCCCGTCTCGGGAGATCTGTCCACCAGATCCGTGCATCTGAATGCACCAGCCCTTGCTCATAAGGGCCCCCGCGGAGAGCAGCGGTTTTGCAACCGCCATCACCCGGAAACAGCAACGTCCATTGAGGGAGTTCTGGCCGATGCCGATGGTCACCATGGCATCGATCTTGCCAAGGTCCTTGACCACTTCGCCTGAGGCAGTCTTGTAGACTTTGCAGGTGCCTTCAGGCTGGATAGGCTTGTAGCCCAATGCGGTGGCCAGTTCAACAGGGATGCAGGAGGTCGCGGCTCCTGAATCCAAGGTCACCTGATGAGCCATTGGCGTCTCCATGGATGCCAGCTCCAAACTCCTGAGAGCGAGTGGATCTTCATCGCCTTCATCAGGCTCGCTTGAGGGAGTGGGATATCGTTTCCCCTTTCCCTTCTTGGCCTCACGGGCAGCATCCTGAGTGGCCACGCTGACGGCTCGAGTCAACTGCACTTTCTTCTGCTTGCCCTTTCCTTGGCCCTTCTCGGAGGCAGCCGGAGCCGAAGCGGCTCGGCTTTTGCCCGGGGATCGTGACCGGGACTTCAGCCGAAGCGTCTGCCTTGGCGCTTCGCTGGATTCCTCTGGCTTGGATCCTGGTCCACGGAATCGCTCTAGGTGCTCTTCAGTCGAGCTCTTGAACCAGGCCATGCGCTCCTCCTTGGTCTTGCCCTTCTTCTCAGGAGGTGGAGGTGTCTTGGCAATGCGCCTTTGCTTTGGCGTCTTTGGGCCAACCTCATCTTCCTCCTCCTGTTCTTCCATCATCTGCTGCATATGGGCTGTCATGTAGAAAGGAGGTTCGTTCTTGACGGTCTCGAGCTTTGGATCTTTCATCTTCAAATGCTTTGCCACATCTTCGGGCTTCAGATCCATGTCGGCGTCTTTCACATGCTTTGGCGCATCTTTTGAAGTTGGGCTGCTTTGCTGTCCCTTGGCAGTCTTGATGCGCTTTCCCATCTCTTTCTGCTTGATCGTCCATTCCTTTGCCCACTGGTTGAGGACTTTTGGCGGGCAACAATTCAAAGCCATATGGTGGTTCCATAGGCCGGTGTCATTGTCACACCTCAGGGCCTTGTTGCACGCACGGCAGACCATGTTCTTGCTGCCATCTCTGTTCTTGTGGGTGCATTTGGCTACCCATTCATCATAGCTGAGGATGCGCTCTTGGAACATGTGATCGAGCCATGGCACGGTATCTTTCTCTTTTTCTTCTTCTTGTCCATCTGACTCCTCGTCAGCTGGCTCAGTGCCATTCTCATCCTCTTCAACTTCACCTTCAAACTCTTCTTCTTCTTCGAGTCCCTCGATCTCAGTCACATCAAGGGGATTGATGTTCTCCATGACTGGAGCTGCGAAGGATGGTGCGCTTGTTGCTCCTTCGCCTTGGCTTTCGACGCGCTTCATCACAACATAGTCCTCTGGGTTGAACCCAGCTGCAGTGAGCGCCTTGTCGATGACACTGCGGGCTGGATGGCTAGTAGCCGTCCATGTCTGGCTTTCCCGCTTCATCTCTGCCAACTCTTGAGTAGAGAGATCCTCGATCTTGGGCTCCTTCTCTTTTGGCTTTTCAGGCTTCTTTGCCTTTCCTGGCTTCTTGTAGCCACGATGCCTCTGGGCCTTTTCTCGACCTCGAGGCTGAGGGGCTTCATCAAACTTTCCCTCATCATCTTCATCATCCCAAGCTTGAAGTCGACCAGTACCCTTGGCACGAGCGATCTCATAGTAGTCGAGCTCCTCAGGGTAATTGGCCTCATAGTCGCGCCAGGAATCGAAGCGATCCTGGGCCTTGTCAACGCGATGTTGCTCAGCGCGCTGACGGCTCTTCTCTTTCTTCTTGGCCAATCTCGGGTCCATACCTGATGCCAAATCAGCTGAGAGCCTTGGCGACTCCGCCGGAACCGAAGCGGCTCGGCGAGGAGTTGGCCTCTTCAGCAAGATCTTGGCTTCTCTCTCCTTTTCTTCATACTGTTCTTTCAGCCTCTTCATCTCGGCCTGTTGTTCCAAGATGGCATCATTGGCTGCTTTGCCTTTGGCTTCGGCCTCTTCGATGGCCTTCTGGATTGTCTCAGACTTCTTCTCATACAGCTCGCGATTGGACTGCATGGTCTCTTGGATTGCTTGGTTCATGACTGCAATCCCAGCAGCTGCAATTCCAGGACGACCTTTTCCAGCTCCTGGCTTCTTTGGCATAGCCTTGACTTCAGTCTCAGCTTTTGCCTTGGCTGCTCCACGAGAAATTGCGGCAGGTGCTGCTTTCTCCATCTCGATGGCAAAGAGGGTGGCGATGTCAGCGGAATACTCAGGCTCGGGTTGATGCTCTTGAGCCATAGAGGTTTCAGATTCCTCAACTGAAGCTACCTTCTTACTTTTACCCTTGCCTTTACCTTTAGAGTCTTTGCCTTTGCCACCTTTGCCTTTACCCTTGGAGTTTTGGTTGTACCAACTACTCTTGCTCCAATCATTCTTATACCAATCGTTCTTGTTCCATGAGTTGTTCCATGACGAGGGATTGGACCACGAAGAACCTTTTCCCTTCTGTTTACCTTTGTCGTTTCCCTTGCCTCCATCTTGACTCTTTCCTTTTCCTTTGCCGCCTTTTGAGCCACCTTTGCCTTTTCCTTTGGCTTTAGCCAGACTTGCAAGTGAAGCTTGCATCTGGCTGGCAGCTGCGGCTAGTGCGTCAACATCCATTGGTGCTGATCCAGTCTTTGCTTCTTTTCGGCTCTCGATGTTCTCGAGGTAGGCCAAAATCTCTGACTTCATGATGGCATAGTCAGTGAGTCTCGAACTCTGGAGGTCAAGGTGATCTTGAAGTTTGGCTGGACACATCTGCTGAAGACAACTTCTTGCGATGTCATCATCAAGAGCTTTCTTCTTCCGCTCTTCATACTTTCGCCTGATGTTTTCCCAGGCTTCTATGCTCTCTCTGAGCTTGTCCAATGCACACTGTTGTGGGTGCAGGACCTTCTTCAGCAAAGCTGAGTTTGCTTGTGGGTTCTGTGGATCATACTTGGTGATCAATCGTCTCAATGCCTCTAGGCCAAAGTGCTGACCTCTGGAGGTATTCTTGACAATCTCGAGGGCTTCTCCCTCACATAGTGAGATCAGAGCCTGTCGGGCCTGAGCTGAAACAAGCTCGGCTCCTTCAGGATAATCATCTTCCAGAGATGTCTCATTGATCTCTGTGTCTTGATGCTCTTCGAGGAGCTGAATGCACTTTCCTGCATTCTTGTGACTTGTCTCAATCCAAGTCTTGAACTTGAAGTACCATGAATCCCAGGTACCTGTGTGTCCACTGAACTTGTCAGGCTTTGGAATGCCTTTCAACTCTGATCTGTCTCTTACTTCCACGCTAGTGGCTATGTTCCTTGTGATTGCCGCTTGTTGTGTATATGCTTCTGCCATTGCTCGTTGCAATTGGTTCTGCCCCTGTGCTAGGGCTTGCATCATCTGTGCAAATTGTTGTGCCATGTCTGTGGCTTGTGGTGCCTGTGCTCCTGGCTGTTGCGCCATGCTGACTTGCTAGCCAGGGATTGAAGCAATCCGGCTTTCCTGCAAGTGATGCTTGTTTTGTGGATCTCCGGTGCCAGAGCCGATGCGGCTCGGCAACCTTCGATTCGCAGACGGTAGCCGGGTCTTAGAACCGCGGCTCCGCTACCATGAACGGAGAATTTAGGCTCTTAAACTCTGTGACCCCAAGTCACTGTCCCAAAGGTTGTAGTAGAAGCTTAGGCCCACTTTTAGCTCCACTCCAAGCGTAGCTCTGGTAGTGAAATGAACACAAAAGTAAACCACAAACTTGAACAAACGGCTGCAGTGAAACATACATCTATACAAGCTATGTCATGTACATGTAACTGGTGCTACATCTGATCAGGACGAACAGAACAAAAAAAACAAAAAGAATCAAAAAGACCGTTGAAAGGACCCAACATGGTGCCAACAGAAAGCAACCCCCAGTGATGTTCGACATCCAAATCGGATCCCCTAGAAACATCCTTGAAGCCTCAGTCAGCCATAGCCGGGCTCTGGCCCCTCGCCCGAATCGCTGCCCTTTTGCCAATCCCCTGGGGGTGACCGCTGGCTCTGGGCGCGACGCCTCCTGCCGAAGCAAAAAGCGCGTGGCGCAAGTGACACGCTGCAGGCAGTCATGTGCCAAGGAGGCAAAGCTGTAGTACTGTATGGTTGCCTGAAATGAATTCATGGACCAAATGAATCGCACACCAATTCTGCACAACACCAAGTCGTTAGCGGCGACTCCGGAGGTCTTCCGAACCAACCAGCGAGAGGGGCCCAGCAGGGTGTTGGATGATCCTGGCTTTCCTGACACGGGGAGCCACTAAAAGAAGAGCTCAGTTGATCATGTATCATTCCTCTGGGTCATCTCCATGAGATCAACCTGTCTGGGCATCGAGGACCCGATCAACAGCAGCGAAAACACGAGCTCCACAGTGCAAAAAAGACCTTTCATTGTGCTTTCAAATTGTCTTAATAATAAAATAAATAAGTAATAAAATAAAAACACAAGTGTACGCCCGTCCCTGAAATAAAACAATAAAGTGCAGTTCACCACCTGTTTGGTCTTCAAAATTTCATGGCCATCCATCATTTAAGGCCTGCATCATTCGGCCCCACCAAAATCGTGTCCCCTCCAGCCACCACGCACCTGCCATTCGCGATTCCACTGCTGTAAGGCCTTCTCATGAAGCCTTCCCAACGGCGAAGGGTGGGTGTGAAAAACAAGCCGACCAACATGATGGTGTTGAGGAAGAAGCTTCTTCTAGGCATAGTCTTTTCATCTGTTCTATCCGATCAGTGAACTTCATGTGTTTCTTTTTACAGTGATGGCCCAAGAGTTCTTGGAAAAGGATGCTCCTCTGCGACGGCAACGTTTTGGGGCATAGATACACGACAGATGCTACGAAACGAGCGGAGAGGCTCTGTGGAGTCTCTCCAGCTTCCAATCGACCTAAAGGAGGTTCCTCACCACGCGAATCAGTCGTTTGGTGGTATTTGTTCCAAGTCTCGCCCGGTCTTTTGGGGTTGTTCCGGCTTGTTCCTGGCCTTTTCATGCCTTTTCCGGGTCTTTCCTCAGGTTGTTTCGGGTGTCTTTGGTCAACTTCCCAGCTCTTAACATCCGCAGGAGACCCCCCCGATCTTCTGGCTGACTCTTGCTCAACGGGGCGGCGATCCCAGGGTCCGGGCCGGAGGTCGGTCTCCCTTCTTTCAGGTGGCTTTGTTTCAAGCCAAAAGCTGGAGGGTGATTTAAATCCTTCCAACAAAAAGTATGACTCAACTGGGTAGTCATGTCCAAATTGACAGTAATTATAGCACCAACCAGTGTTGAACCATGTTGAACCATGTTGAACCACGTGATCTATATGATCCAAGTTGCTTGCTGGTGCAGATCTCTCTTCCCATCACCCACAGCATCCGCAGCATCCGCGCCTCTGCAGCATCCGCAGCTGCTTCCGCCGCGCCAGAGCCTGGTCAGCGCAGTCCGCGCAGGCCGGGAGTGTTCGCACGGACTCGACGGGTTTCTTGAGACCGTGAGAAGTCCCACCAGACCTGACGTGGATGGCGGGACCCATCATGGGCCCCCGAGAAATCAAGACCATAGTATCCATAGACTCCAGGCTCTTGTTTTTCCAGGCAGGTGATGGTCCACTTCCATGTTTGGAGACGGTGAGTTAGCACACCCTGTTCGTTCAGGATTTTGTGACTACGCAAATAGCATGCTAGGCCCTGCTAGGCCCTGTTGGGCCCCTAGAAATCCGACCGGTGTGACCAACCGATGCACTGAGCTCCTGAATCAAACACCTTGTGCTTCGAAGACACCCCACCCCATGCGGTTCAACGTCCAAGTGCACGGCCCTCAAATGCTCCACCAAAAAGGGTGGTCCAAAAAAAGAGCCCTTCAAACTGAAGAAGACCGGCGTAGGGGTCCCAGTGGTCTTTTCCGGGGTGGGGCAAAACTGGGAAAGATTCAACCAACCGCCCCAAATTCCTGAAAAAGAGTGAACATCTCCCAAGAAACTGACTACGCTTCATGTTTTTGGGCTTAAGCTTGCTTTCCTGGTGCTCCACCGCATGGTCATGTACCCCCAAACCGGCCTTTTTCACAAGTTGAGCCTTTTGAGTCCCACAATTTCACCCAAGAGGAAGGCAGGAAGGCTTCTTGCAATTTGGGGTCATTTGGAGGACCCTCATCAGGCCAAGTGCCAGTGGTGGTTTCTCCACACCCTTTCGCAGCTCCGAAGCTTCGCCGTCGTTTCTGTTCTGGCGGGGCCGCGCGGGACACCCGGCGTTTGTCTCCTCCAATTTCTGCTGATCATCCCCTTTGCAGATCACCGGTCCGCGGGTGTCGCGCGGAAAACGCGCGCGAGCTCGCGCTCGGCCGTACCTGGAGAGCTTCCTGGGCCCAGGGCCTGGAAGTGCTTGGAAAGCGACATCGGGTGACCCCAAGAGATTGGGATTGAGATGAAGAAACTTAATTTTGAGTGGAGAGCATGGACCCTCAACGGCATTCCAGATGAACCCATCCATCGGCAGTGGGTCAAAATCCAGCCCCAAACCAGAGTAGGTTGACCTCCCAGGTAGTCTATTCTATTCATTCTTGGTCGTCAGGGTGTCTCGGTTTTGACCCGCAGCCATATCCGTTCGAACCGTCCCACCCCATCTTCGCCTGGATCAGCGGGTCGCGGCCCCCCGTCGCCCCCCCGGCGGTGTTCCGCCTCGTCCTTGCGAGGACTTGGGGCATGGACCTAGGCGCAGCGCAGCAATGAGATGAGGCTTTCCGGTTGGAATCCGCGGCCCCAAACAAAGGGGAAAGCACCCCCAAGAGCCAATTAGGTACACCGGGTCATCCCTCTTCACTGTTTGTAGCTGCAGGAACCCATCGGTGCGGGTGCATCACAAGAAAGTGAAGATTGAAGCTTCAGGTTTCTCCACTGTCGCAGGTGATCGGAAACTCCGACTGAAGGGGAAAGGCAAGAAAGGCAAGAAAGATCCCCCACTGCAAGTGAAAAAACGAGTTAAGGTTGTAACTCGTGTTTCCCCAAAAAACCCACCCCAACCCCATCCAACCCCCAACTCTCCCAATTACCCCAAACCCCTCCGTTCCGCTCCCCAAACCGATGGCACCCGGACGCCACTGGCAGCTGCAGCAGCTCTCCGAAACGTCTCCACAGCTGCTCCAGCAGCACACGGTCCCCCTGGCCGACCGGGATACCCAACGGTGCGAGCGACCGGGAAGCTTGTTTGGCTACATGGGGTTGGACCTACCTAGCTTATTGACCTCCAGGTGAAATGCGGCAATTGAGTAAATTGAGTAAAGCTCCTCAGCAAGCTCCAAAAGTCCAAGCCTTTTGCGCTTATTTTTGCGAGTGACATCATGATGTGCCCTCACATGTGCCCTGAAAATAGGCTTTTTTTGATAGCCTGGGAGGTGAAAAGGTACTTGGGATGTTTTTTCAAGATCCATGTTCCTCATTGTTCCTCTTTCGTCTTCACCTCCTCTTTCGCTGCTCCACCAGCTGGACCCGCTCCCACGAGTCCTCCGCCGCTCCACCGCCGCTCCAGCTCCTCTGCTGGGCGCCTTGACATCCAGGAAGACGGCATACAAGTGGAGCTCGTGGACCTGTCGCGGAAGGGAGGGGCCAAGGGCCCCCGATCCACCGGTTTGGTCCGCAGGTCGTTTTGGCCCGGGCGGCTCGGGCGGGAGCCATGACGGAGCAGGGAGGGGAGGGGATGGATGGGTTGGGCTTTGAAGGAAGGTTCTTCCAAGGTTTGGCACGGGATTTGACTTGATCCGGGGGCCTAGAGCTTACTTTATTTGACAGTTCTTAGGGGAAACAAGAGTTCAAAAATTTGGTCTGCCTGTCTGCCTCAAAACAATGCCAATGAACTCATCATTCCTGATGTAGCATGTTTGTGTGTGTGTGTTGGGGGTCCCAACCAATCCAATGGGTTTTTGTCTTAAGTTTGTTTGGCATCATCATAGGTTATTGTAGGGCATCAAATGACCACTAACAAGGCCACACCACAGAGCTTCCAATCTGCTTTACTGGCGCGTGGCGCCCACGTGGCGCCGACGTTCGCGTCCGCACGTGCGCCGTGCGTTCCAGCGCGGTCGAAAGCCTCCCGACACGTCTGTCGAAAGCCTTCCAGTGCTTTTTGCCAACGCCTCGGTCGCACGGTCGCACGACCGCAGGGAGGTGCGCGACTGACTGAGCGGCGGTAGCTCTAACCGCCGCAGAGCAGGTCACCCGGTCTGGAGGAAAATCAAGGAGCAACAAGCCGAAATCGGGGGTTCTTGGGGCTGAAGATCTGGGTCTGGGATGGTCTGAAGATCTTCATAGGGACCAATGTATTATGGCAAGCTGGCTGGTCTGGCCCTGGATCTGAAGACAGCATGTCAACCCCCTGCAGGGTTTTTGTGTGGGTTTCCGTCAGCACAGGTGATTGACAGCAATCTGAGTCCGTCTGTAATGCAAAACGTTGCCCCATAGTCCCATAGTGCTCTTCTGACCAAGAGTCCACATCTGAATTCCACTGGAGGAAGGCGCGTCATGTTGTTCAACAAACCAAAGACAAGGTCTACCAATCAAGACCTTGAGATTTCTACCCAAGACTTGCCGATTGCAGCGGCCTTGGCCTCCACTGGCCCATCTCCCAACCTTCAATCCCAGAGCAGGCCCCCTGACTGTTGCTCAGCCTCCTGCGTCGAGTGGATGTGTTCACGTCGGGTGCCCCGAAGCATGTGTCACGCGGGGTAAGCAAAGCCTCTGTGAGTGGACCAATGGGTGGTCTGTGAGTGGACCAAACGCCACCCCCCATTTGGATTGGAAAACCATGTAAGACCTCTTCATATGAGGCGTTTGAGGTAGATCCAGAGTCAATTACGCGGAGAAGAACTGTGCTTTTCCCAGAAGGGTTTGGACAAATTTGGCATCGGACAGAGTCAACCATGACCCCTGCGCTGAAACAGATGCCCCCCCTGCGCTACCACGCCTCTAACAGGCCAGCCGACCTGAGGCTCAATGAACGGCACAGGTCTCAATGCTCTGGGCATACTGTCTTAGGGCAAATACACATCTTGGAGGGGTCAAGCATGTTCAGCTACCAGGAGTCACAAAGGGGTGTCCAATGAAGTACCCCACACTACCTATAGGCTTCCATTGGGCACCCCTTTGTGACTCCTGGTAGGAGATTGTTAGATGTACCTCGTGACCGTGCTACGGCATGTGGGTTTCAAGAAGAACGTGCTTTCAGGACGGACTTATCCCCTGAGGAAGCGTGAGGGGCCCCGTGAGGGGCGAACTGTTTGTCAACGTTGCCCTTCAAACCTGGGGCTTCTCCTTCACACTGGCCATGGAAGGTGTTCCTCATGACTCACGAGGAAAGCTTGCAAAGCTCAAGTAGTTGAACCCAAGATCCAATGGGATGTGAAAGAACATGCAGTGCAATATCTTCTTGACGATTCAGGGTTTGCAGTGGGTGGAAGACCCAAGCATGAAACCAAGACATGCCAAACGACCTAAACCCAAGGATGTCTTCAGACATTTGTTCAGCCCTGAACCAACACACAACCAAACGTGGAGCACGTTGGCATGAAGTTCTACGCCAAACGAAAGGGTCACGCTTTGTATATTTCATAGATACACCAAACACAAAGAAAAGGAGCATGGAGTAGTGATCACCCCAAAAACAGTCGAAAGTCCTCTCCATGCGCCGTTATCCACACACCACCTCCATGTCACCGACAAACTCTCCTGGTCCGCAACCACCAAACCATAAAAATATATAAACTCTCTCCCATGTGCTCGTGCTCTCGCACGCCAACCGTGTGCTCGCGCTCGCGCGGGAACGCCGCGTCTCCCGGGAACGCCTCGCCGGGTTCCGGGTTTCCTTCGGAGTCCTGGAGGTCCCCGGCTGACAGTCCGCAAGCGCACGCTTCATGGCGCTGGCGCAGGTCTCCATCTTCTCCTCATGGATCGAGAGGGGTCGTCTTGAAACATGGCACTGACTCGCGATGAAGCGAGGTCTCACCAGCTTGGGATTTGGGGTGCCAGGAGGTGGGTTGGAGACTCTAGTAGACTCTGGCTTGAACTCTAGGTTTTACATATACTTCATGCTACTTCGAACAAATCTCCCCATCCCGTCGGAAAACTCCAGAGCTCTGTGCTCTGGTCTTCTGCACGAAACAACTGGTCCAAAGCAAAGCCGCCAAAGCCAAGGGCGTCCCAAATTCCAGCAGTCACCGCTCATTTCTCCTTTCTGCTCATGTCCCCCCCAAACAAAAGGACCCCACACGTGACCCCACAAGTGACCCTCGCCGCATGGCGGCCCACACTGCTTCTCCCACGACGCCCCAAAGCGCCAGGCGGCGCGCCTTGTTGGTGTGTGACAAGAGAAGGAACTCCAACGTCCTACCGGCAGTCATCATCGGACCCAGCAGTCATCGGCCGACCCAGCAGCAGGTTGTAGTCGGCGCGATCCGCGGACTCCGCGGGGTTTTCGAGTTGTAGTACGCGCGAGCGAATCGGAGAGTGGAGGTTTTTCCTCCACACTCAAAGCCATGGAGCAGGGAGTCGTCCTCAGGTCCAAAGCAAGCATTCTTGTCGATGTTTAAGTGAGTCCAGGCAGGTGGCGGGTGAGGCGAGCTTGCGGCCAGCTCCATGGGTTGATACCGAACTTGGAACCATCAGCTCATGTTGTCCCGGTTCCTTGTAGACGTCTACCGAAAACATCCGACAACCACCCAACAAAAAACACCCGCAACAAAAGAACCCATGTCGTTCAAACACTCGAAGATCATCGTCTAAATGAAAAGCCGTGTTTCATGAACATCGAAAGTCCGTTGATCGTGAAATCTGGCGGAGGAACAGCCTGGCCACCAGTTTTGTTCGTTTCGCGAAGAAGAGAAGCCCTGGCCATGCCTGGCCTGGCTGGGACGCCAATTCCACTGGCAACTCAGATGAAATGACCAGGTCAGGTGTTTGCACAAGCGCTTTCCACCAACTCCAAAAGTGGAAGTGTGGCCTCTTTTTGCCTAGCACAAAGGGTGCATATAGCAAGTGGATCCAAATGGCGCCACCAAGTGGAGCTTGAACCGTGCATATCCACTGGCTGACGGTCTGTGGGTCCGGGTTCGTTCGGAAGTCTGCCTCTTTGCCCACCCACGCCTTTTGAGAAACCGCTACGCCTCAACGTCCACGCCTTTCCCTCCTCACCACGGGCCGTGGGGGAATCCTCTCCTCTCTTCCTGTACATAAGGCTTCAGGAACGCCGTTGCAGCTTTGGCGGCCTGGCAACTCTCCCCGAAGAGCCGCGCCGGGCCGGTCCCTCGCAAAACAGGTTTCCCCAGGGTCCAACGGCACCAGTACGGAGAGCAGCAAACAGCAGGGGAGGAACCCCAAAACCCTGTGGGGAAACCAAAAAAAAGAGAAAACATTCTAAAAAACCAAGTCAACCGGAAAGGAAAAACACCATCCTGGAAACTGGAAACACCGAACCCCAACTTTCTGCAAGGTGTTTTCCCGTGACGAAGCCAAGGAAAGCAGCTGAACAATGCTGAAGATTGGTGAGACTGGTGGAAGTACCAAGCGATTGGTTTTGGGTTCAGAAAGAACTGGTTGCATTGCTATTTAAAAAGCAGCTGTCCGCCTGTCACCTCCCACGTCCGACCAACCCGTAGACATGTTAAATGTCCGATCACAGTGATAGGAAGGAAATCAAACCTGCATTAAACTTCGTCTGCCGTCTGCCATCTCCGTGTGACGCTGCTCGTAAAAAATATCAATGATTAATGCGTCAGCCAGCACCACCCTGTCCGGGTGGTTATATATATATATATTGGATGGAACATGTAGACTCTTGATTAATGACCCCCCATGTGAAGATGATGTCCAATTCAAAAGGGCGGGTTTATGGTAAGAGTCTCCATTACATAGACTTCATCAGGGGGGTCTATAAACTATCCGTCCTGAGTGGTGCTGGAGACGACCTCTCGTTTCTCCCAACTTCGAAGAGACAAGCAGGGGGAGCGGAGCCCAGCTGTCAAGGGCTTTTGCGTGCCAACTCCGCCAAGAGATGGGTATAAATGTGATGTTCATGAACTGATGTCGGTTCATGAACAGGGGAATATTCATCTAATTACAAGATGTTGGAAATGAATATTTCTGAATATGTCTTTTCTTTGAGATACTTTAAGTAATAAGTGAGCTAATTACGTGGCTCTTTGTCCACCTCTCCCCCTCTGGAGACACGGTGCAGGATCCCCGAAGGCGCAAGGATCGCGTCGATCGCGTCGCGACGCGCGGGCGCCTGAAAAGCTGCTTCGGGCGCTGTCCAAACGAGCAGGACCTGTCCGGTCCCGGTGCATTTGCGGTCGTCACGGTCGTCGCGGTGCCGACATTCGCGCGGTGTAACGCGAAGCTGTCGCGCCGTTCTTGGGTGCTCTGGGACTTTCATTTGGCCTTGGAGGGTGTTCTTTATAGTGTTTTGTAGCAGACGTGTTGAACACATTGACAATGGTGTGGAAGATTCCAAAAGTGTGCTTTGGAGGCAGAACATCAATCTCGTCATGACAGGTGGGGGTCCGAAGACTGCGTGGATGTTGAATTCATTTTTGAGACTCTAGGGACCGAAGAGTGATACAAGGGCTGCAACGATGAACCCGCCGTCCTTGGCTGTCCTTCTGTCCTTCTACCCATCCATTTCTTGGCTTTTGCGCCACTCGTCGTCCTGGGGGTTCCACCCACCAAATCCATCACCAAACGAACGGCCGCGTGTGTCGTTAGCGGTGTTTTCTCCTGTCGCTGTCGTGAGCCACACAGCGACGGGCCTCGTTGAGTGCCCGCAGAGTTGGCAGAAGCTCTTGCACCAGCGGCCGCGCAGTAAGCTCCTCACACCCACACGCGTGCAATGGACAGTGTGCACTCGGACGCACTCTGCGTAGCATGATCTCAGAGGGAGAGCACCAAGTCATCCAAGTCCAAGGCAATTTGATATAAATGTACTGAGGTCTGCGCTTGGATCAAAATGCCAGGATCGAACTATGAGGCCGAGGTACTTCGAACTATGAGGCCAAGGTTCTTGGCTGGTCTAGTTTCAGCTTTCACATAATACCATCTGAGCAGCGACTGTTCCATGTTCGTGTCCGACAAAAGATCCTCGGAAAGCCAGGTTCGCCTCTTGCGATGAGAAAATCAAGGTCATTTGGTCTCTTGGCCCTTGCAAGAGCGGCCAGCTGACATGCCCTGTCCCATGCTGTCCTTGCACAGAGCGGCCAGCTGATGTTGCGCCTGTTGCGGCAGAAAACAGGGACGACACGCCCCGTCTTTGAACACCATACAGTTGTTAGGTCCAGGGGCGACTCAAGCCTCGAGCAATGAAACACATGGAAAATAATGATGGAAACAACAAAACATCGTCACAGCTAGAGTGTAACTGTATCCACCTATTTCAGGGACCGCAGCTGTTGCATCCATCCGGACAGCTGACTCATAGACATGTCGTTTGGGGTCCAAAGGCATCAACGAAAGTCCTCCAAACCATCTTTTTTTCGCGCCTCCGCATCGGAGCTACAACGCCTGCCAGGTGCGAAAAGTGGGCACCAGCAAGGCAAGGCACTAGACCAAATGGATGGGAAACATGGATGGCAGAAAGCTTCCATTGCATTCAAGAGATCCAGTCATTAAACATCATCAGAGATTCCATACGTGATATTCCAGATCTTCGACCTCGTCTCGCGCATGGTGTCAGTCGTTCGTGACAGGTGAAAGGTGGACAAAAAAAAAAGGCTCCGTGCCCACCTAGTGCGGATTGCGCCGCCTGAACGGACAAAGGAGGTGACTGGGCGAAGATGTGGCATAGAGCTCTGTCTGCAAGGGTTTTTGTTCTCAACCATTAGTAGAAGAAGGATCAAAAAGGCACTCTTATGCAATACTAGGCAACCAGGAATGCAAAAACTAGTATGGTCCGTGGCTCTTATTTGTGATGCTTCGAGTTGGCGAGCAAGAAGACTGGACGGTGGAAAACACGGTAGCCACCGCATGCAGCGCGCGAGCTCGCTCGCACCACACACTAGCGAGCCAGAGGTGTTCCTCTCAGGTTTCACGGCAGGTGATACAGGGTAGGAAAACATTACAAAAAGCCTGTGAGGCGCCAAGGTGAGGAGCCAAGGTCCAGAAAAACTGCATGGACCTGGCCATCCATATTCATTCAGAAGGGAAACCTTCCACTCGGGACATGTCTCGTGGGGGACTTCTGAAAATCGTGATTTCTTGGTTTTGGATGCTGCGATCTGTCCAACAAACATAGAAGTGGGACGACCCTTGTTGGTAGAGAAACATCGGCTTGCAAGGGTCCATTTTCGGCATGATGCTTGGCTGGAGGTTGGCTGCCTTCTTGCGCTCAAAGGAACTCTCATTTGCATTGCAAAGGTAAGAATCAGATGTAAGAAGTGTAGTGCCTATGATGTCCTTTGGGGAATAATAGAGGGGGTCGATTTGGGACTATATACATCTATATATACTAATTGGTTGTTCACGATACCCTTGGTATCCGGTGGTCATCCACCAAGCAAGGGCATAAAAAGGCGAGTCAAGTCTCTGGTGTTTTCGCCTGCGAGAGTCGAAATCGAAGAGAATCCAATCGACTCTCAAGCACTCCCGTCGCGTCGGCCCGTCGCGTCGGCCAAGGGATTCTGGACGCCCATGGAGGGTTTCTTGAAAAGCCCCTTGCCAAGATCCGTGTGGAGACTTGAGTCTATCCAGTTTCACTGCGTCCGGATAAAACCACTGCCTCGGATTTGCTTAAGTTCATCCTCCCCCTATCAAAACACACGAAAACTGATGTCTCCCAAAGCCGTCCGCGGCTATTGACGCTGAGACCAGTAACGCGCAAAAGGACATGGCCGCGACAGGATGTGCCTCCATTCCATCCAAATAGACTGTTGATCATTCTCAGAATCCTGCAGAAAATCATCAGATCATCGGATCTGTTCTTTTCATATCACTTCGATTCCGATCCTCATGCTTCACCGCATTGGCCAAGGAAGGCTACAATGCATGCCATGCATGGTCCGGAAGCCTCGAAGCCACAGCATGTAAGGGACACCCTGGTGTTGATCAAGCGATGCTTCATGCTTCAATGCTTCGCAGCTTCTTAAGTATCTCAACCAATCAAACAACATCTTACCGTCTTGAAATCTGTGGAGGACCTCTAGAATTCGCGACGTTCGCTCCCATTCATAATCTCTGTCCTGAGAGCGCTTCAGCGAGCATCCGACGGTGCCCGGGCGGGGCCCGGGAAGAAAAAAAGATGTGCAGAAACTGCTGGGCCTACCTAAAGGATTGTCTAGGTGACTGATGCTTCCATGTGATAATTTGTGATATGTGCGTGTGTGTTATGGAAGTCTGTGAAAAAGACTGTATGCCAATAGAATTGCAACTGGGGTATCTGGAGCGAAGCGATTTCAAGAACTGCCCCTCTCATGGTCTCTTGATCCTTTCATGTCCTGGGCCCCCTTTTCCTGCGCCACACGAGCGCTAAGCTGTGAGCCCAGTGGCGGCCACAAGGATGGGATAGCGCACCACCAACACCTTCCCTGCTGAACAAGTCCTCCAACACATGCGAGGTCATGCGAGGTGTAGCTGAGCTGTGCGAGGTGTAGCAGTTGGAACTATGAACAACTGGTGAGTGGATTGGCTGAGGGTCTCCCTTTTTGAACACAAACACACTCTCCTCATCCTCGCATCCTTGACTCCTGAAGTAGCGCTGCCCGAACGCCACTCGAACGCGCCAAGCTCACCACGGTTCAAGCTCCGTCCGAACAAGCCCCCGCTCCGATGCGCAGAAGCCACGGAGCCCCGGCCAAGCTGGCGGACCCGACCAATTCGCAGCGAAGCAACGGACCGGCTCACCCAGCAGTTCCAAGGGGGTTGAGACCGCAGAGACAACAGGTTCGGGTTGGAGGTTCGGGGTACCCATCCTGCAGGCTAGGGGTGCAGGTTCTGGACAAATGCTTTATGGAGGAAGGTGCCCCATGTCACATCCACTCACGGAAAACAAAGAACATCAAATAACTAAGCCCTAAGTGGACCTTCAAAGGTGTGTCCAATGAAGATCCCTAGGTAGTCTAGGGGCTTCCATTGGTGACCCCTTTGAAGGTGCTGGTACTCAACCCTTTCCACCACATCCTGACTTTTTGTGACTCCTCTTCGAGGGCCAACCATCTCCACTGACTCAAGACCCTCGTCACCGGCTGCGGGACTCGGCTCAACTGGACGGGACCCGACCTCCACCGGCCACGACCTCCACCGGCCACGACTGGACGGAAGCACTGGACCTTGCAAGGTCCAGGCTGCGTTCATTTACTCCCACTCAGTCGGTGTGGGGGGTACAGTATATTTTGCTCAAGAAACACAGAGGTCGGAGGCGGACGAAGACAAGCAAACCAGGGCATCGCTACTTACTAGCAAGGACGCCACATAGACCGGGAGACCAGTGCGACCGGTTGAGAAGTGGTCTCCCTCGTGAAGGAAAACCAAAGACCGAATCGCCAAAGATCGAAGCTCCATTTTCGGGGGGGCGCGCTGGAGCGCTCCACAGGCGGACCGTACAGCCGGATCTGCGAGATGATTTGGGTCTCCATTGCCAAAAAGGGACAACACCCAGGTCTCAAACAAACCTCAAACCCTTGAAATCGTCGGCGCGAAAAAAGCCTCGAGTAGCTGCTAGGGCTCTTTCAGGGTCATATGATGTGTCTTTGGTGCGTGTGTAGACTTCCTTCTCATCCCCGAGCCGCTCCAGCCGCTCCAGCCGCTGCCGGCACCAACCCATCCTGCCGCCCGCCGGCTGTACGGGGCCCTGCCGCCCCGGTGCGCGCATCAACCGGTGGATTCCCGGGAACGCGCCGGTGACGCGTGATGAAGGGGTTGGAGGATTCATGCGTGGCGATGAAAGAGCGCACAAACGCATTGATGAGGTACTACGAACTGAAAGAAATCACTAGATACCATATGTAGGTATACATGTGTATATATACATATATATATACATATATATATATGTACATACATATATATATACATATATATATATACACATATATATATATGCATGTTAATGTAATATAACATATTTACATATCTATATATATATATAGTGATATAGCACAGTATAGTATGATATAACACAATATAATACATTTTTATGTTATATACTTGCTTATCCTTGAGCACAGCGTTTTTCAGCCGCTTGATCCCCGTCATCGCTCGCAGTTGCTCGTGGCTTCCACATTACACCTGGAAGATCCCAAAACGGCCCCGAGCTTCCCCAACACCATGCTTTCGAAACACCGCCAGCAGGGAGAGATGGATTTTGCCAAGTCTACATCTGCAATTCTCCATTCTCAGTGGGAATCCAAGCTCCGAGTCACTGCTCTTTCAAAGCCACCCATGCGAAGATGTTCTTCGCCAATGTACACATGCACGAATTGACTTGCAAACTCCACGGCTAATCTCCCAGACGGGAATGTATCATTGGTTCCCTGATGGCGCTTCACCATCTTCTGAACCCGAGACAAGGCCCCTGCCATGTGTGTCCAAACATGAAAAGACACCTGCCATGGTTGTGAACACTGAAAACTCAAAAACCCTAGTGGCAAAAGGAAACCCAGTGGCTGGGTCAATTCCGACATGTCTTGTTCAGATGTGTTTCAAGAGTCTTCGCATGCCTTCTCTGAATTAGGCAGCGGAAGCAACTCGAGGAATTCGCCCCTCAACTGCGGAAAATGTCAGTCAACCAGCCGGAGAATCTTCGTGGAGGAGCTGCTAGTGAATTGTGGCTGCTGGATTCTCAAAAGCGAAAACCGCACCTCTCAGGCGGCGGTCCTGGCGGCTCCTCCCGCGACCGACGCGGCGGGGGGTTCCCGGATCTCCACTCATCCAGCACCCCCCAGGGGAAGCGCTCGAGAGCCTGGAAGCGGGCCAAACCACATCCAGTCCAGGCTCAACCGCAGAGATACGCAGGGTGAGTCGAACAACAAACCTGTCGGAAACACATGGTGCCGTGAAGAAGTGCCACACATGTCTCCACGTTCCTCACCAGCTAGCGTCTCAAAATAGGGAAGGTCCCCAAAAACACTGTTGGCACAGGCCATGAACCAAAATCCAGCTTTTTCAGCAACCCAAACTAGTGGTCCGCTCCATTGCTCTGGTCCCACCACCAAACCACCAAACCCCATCTGCCCCGACCGAAGACCCACGCCGACCAAATGGTCGCCTGGTCGCCTCAAGGGTTCCCGTATCGAGGTTCTGAGGCCTGGCCCGGGCTCCACACATTTGGGGCCCCCGTGGACATGGGCCGTAAACGGGGGGGCGTCAACGGGGCGCTGGCCCGTTTACACGGGGCGGCCCGTTCGATGCAGACCCAGGGTCCTGTTTCAGGCATTCAAAAAACAGCGCCTGTCGGACGTCCGATGTTGGGGTTTCTCAGACCAACACTAAACCTCACAAGAAGATGCTTCAGTCAAAACAAAACCATCTGTCCGACGCGTGGGATATGTCCAAACGCCCAACATCTTCTTTGTGGAAAATGAGCGTTCCCTTGCCCGCACTGGTCTACCATACAGCGAACATCCAAAAGAGAGCATCTTGGTGCAGAGACACCCAAATGTATTGAACCATGAAACATTTGTGAACGTCCTTTTTGACATTATATATGTGTGTTTGTTTCTCTGTCACTTTATGTCAGGCTTCCGGAAATGAGTGAGACAGTCAACCGTCCAAATCGTGCATGGCCCAGAAGGAGGTTGCGACGTCCTCAAAAAATCTGCGTTCGTCTGCGCATCCAGGACCTTTCTTCAAGTGCCGCTTAGTTGACCCCGAAGAACAACTTCATCTTGACCTTCCAAGTGCGCCTGCTTGGACAGGCCTTAGATCCTCGAAACATGCCACCAGATCCCCATCCTTTGTGAAGGACCCCCCTCTCCTGACCATCCACTCGCACACCCTTCCAGTCAGCTCCGCTGCAAAGTTCCTTTCTCCACTTCGAAGTTCATCATCGCTCGAAGCTCGTAACTGCCACTTCTCAGACCGCGCTCGGAGTTCATCGGCTTCGCCAGATCTGTCCAGGCATCCGCGAAGCGCTGGTGCTCCCCGTCGCGGCTCCAAAGGTGCACCTTGTGGCGACCCCGTTGCGGCGTTCGACTGTCCAGCGGTAGTAGCGCGGGTACGCGAACCCCGTTTGCGGATCGACATGCGACCCCGTGAGGACCCCAAGGACCGAGTTCGAAGCACCGAGTGACCGGAGGATTGGACCGAACGAAGGCCGAAACACCTTGGAATTCGTGGTACACCCCTTGGGGTGGGATTTGATGAAGCGAAATTCGTGGTCCAAAAAGACAGACAGACATGGGTCATGGGTTTCACATGGGTTTCACTTCATTCATCGAATTCTCAAAAATAGTGACGATATGTTAGACTCTTACAACATGTTACAAATAATGGGGCTCAATGTTGATCCATGTTCCACTGATTTTCACATTCACACTTGGCTAGCAGGTGGACTCTCAAATCATTTGCTGCTGGGCTACAGAAACACTGCCTGGGAACGATCGGAGGATCGTTCCAAAGAAAGGACTGCAACGTCCAAAGTCCAAAGAATCATTTCCACAACTCATCTCAACACATGAATGAACCACAAAATCTCACAAAACCATGGTAGAAAGTAGAAACATGCTTTTGTAGTCAGGAGATCTCAGGAGAACACAGCCCAATGTGCCCCCATACAGAACAACACAACACACCACAACAACCACAAAAAAAAAACACACACACAGCACACACCCGACTGATGCGTCCCGACTGATGCCTCCGCCGTCCGACCGCCCTCGCGCCTTGATGTCTCGCTGCACCGATCGCAGCCGCTCGCGGAAGATCTGCACCTGACGGAATCACCGCCGCACCCGTCGGTCCGGGGCGAGGCCGAAAACGCCGACGCAAGCGGTGGAGAGTTTCAGAGTTTCCAGATGCAGCAGGTGTGAAAAACCTCAGGTTGTGGGGCCTCATAGACCGGCTTTGGTATTAACGGTAGCTTGAAGGCCTCTGCAAGGCTCGAGCTACAAAGGCCTTCGAAGAATTGTAAAAACAGATCCGCTCCGCTCCACCAAAGGCTGTGTTTTCAGGCTGTCCCTGATCCCTGCGATCACGGTCACGTCAACACCCCTTTCTTCGCCTCCAGCGCACTTGGGCCTGACCAAGCACCACTGCTCTCCATACGAAAGCGCACATGCGCCTGCGGCAGCGCGCGCAAGAGCGACTCCTGGGTGCACATGCCGAAAACAGTGGGTTCCCACTGCGGTGCCGCCCGGCTGCAGAAGAAGGGCCCCCTCTATGCCCACCTCCCCCGGGGTTCAAGGCTCGCACTCTGCAAGACAAAGGATGAGTGAGAGAGAGAGAGAGAACAAAACAAGAGGTGCGCCACCACATCTGACATCCCAAGACAAAAACACTGCAGAATGCAGCCACGTTTGGGGTTCTTCAGGGTTGGGACCTCAGCATCTCATGGGTTCCCTCTGTTGGGCCAGGACGTTGAAAATGGAGCCCGAAAACGGGGCCGAAACCATACTACCTGACTACCTTTGTGCGGTCAGTGCGCGGAAAAGACCACCTTTGTTCAGAGTGTTCTGAGATATCTCCTTGTGGAAAGGACATTAATTCCTTGCGGGACTTGAGGCCAAGGGGGGGGGGCGAAAGCTAGCGCTCCAGAATGGGAAAGTGGAGGGCAGCGAGGTAGGAAAAACACGGCGCTCTTTTTGGAGGCAGTCGCACGGAGTAGCAGAAGGCAGGACGCCTTGCACAAGTTGGACGGGGCAAACGATTCCAGGTGAAGAGTCCTTTATATGTGGCTCTTTGCCCGGATCCTCCTGCAAGAGACGAGAGAGAAGAGAGACGGAAAGACGAGAGACAGAGAGGAGAGAGAGAGAGAGAGGAGAGAGAGATGAGAGAGAGATGAGAAAGAGATGAGGGAGAGATGAGAGAGATGAGAGAGAGATGAGAGAGAGAGATGAGAGAGAGAGAGAGTGAGAGTGAGAGTGAGAGTGAGAGTGAGAGTGAGAGTGAGAGTGAGAGTGAGAGTGAGAATGAGAGTGAGAGTGAGAGTGAGAGTGAGAGTGAGAGTGAGAGTGAGAGTGAGCGAGTGCGGCCGCAAGATACGCAACGCTAACCGCATGCCAAAGAGCGACGACAGGACGGAGTCGAACTTGCCAAGAGGGAGGAGGGAGGGAAGGTGGGAGGAAGACAGTTTCAGCCACCTCGTGTGCACCTCAACCCGGACCAACGGTCGTCTTAGGTGCGATCTGCTGTCCGTCGTCTTCCACTTCAAGGATCTCAAGTTGGAGGTGATGCGGCTCCGACCGACCAATGGAGCTACACTCCCAAGTGAAGAGTCCTTTATATGTGGCTCTTTGCCCGGATCCTCCTGCGAGAGAAGAGAGAGAAGAGAGACGGAAAGACGAGAAACAAAGAGGAGAGAGAGAGAGAGAGAGAGCGAAAAGAGAGATGAGAGAGAGATGAGAGAGAGAGAGAGAGAGACAGTGAGAGTGTGAGAGTGAGAGTGAGAGTGAGGGGGGGGGGGGGGGGGGGGGGCTTCGACCTGAAAAATCAGGGGTTAGGATTTGCACCCGATCGAAAGAAACCTTGCTATCGCAAGAGTAACTCCAGCTAGCTTCGCTAGCTTTCGTGATTAGCAGTCTCTTCACCCTGATTGAAACCATGTCAAATTCGTAAGATTTCGTAAGTATATAGTGGGAGCAGGTTAATTATAGCCAACGTGACCCATCTCTCTCGCTATTTCTCTACTGCACACGTCATTTTCTGTCACTCCACTTCCGCAAAATCTATCAGCTTCTCATATTGTCCAGAAGAGGAACATCATTGAGCCACCATGAGGCAGAAACCCAACACCGGGATACGACCGAGCACTGGCAGTGACGGGTGTTCCAATCCCCTGGCGACTTGCGTCGTCAACCTCTCATCTCACCTAACCCCCCCGCATCATCCGGAAAAGGACCTTCTGAAAAAGAAAGATCACTCACTCACCAAACAAATAAACATCAGATCAGAATATGATCTCCCGAAAACTCAATCTGTGAAGGGCGACCCGCTGTCCCCATCGCCCGCTGTCGAGCGTCCATGAAGGCTCCGTTGTAGATGTTCGAACCTTGCCACTCAAAGCTCTGCACTGAACCCAGCTCAAGAGCTGTCAAGTGCTGTGCCGGCTCTGCTGGCACTTGGGGCAGATGCAGCTTGCCGCGGAGGTTCAAACGCTTCAGGGTTGAGCTTTCAGAGAGGCACTGGAAGAGGAGGCACAAGCTCTCCTGAATGAAGCAGGAAGAATGGGCACCCTGTGAGGTGATGACGTTCTCTAGCTGGTTGTGGAGAGGCTCCAGCCAGGGTTGTTCCCTTTACTGTATAGATGCCCCAGATCTCTGCAATTAGAAAAGGGTCCGCATTCAGAGTTTGAGTTGGAGGCTTCTCTTTTACCAAGTGGCTCTCGAAATGCCTATTTCCCTCACCCGTTAAGATACGTTGACTGGGAATGAGAAGTCTGGAACCGTGGCGGTACGAGCTAGGACGCAAAGGGCACCAGGGCTCGAGGGTAAGAAGAACTCTTTACCTAAAAGCTTTGCCTGATTGCCTTGTATTTGTACTGAAGAGCATTGTATTGGGAATCTGCATGGGCTTGTAGACTTAAGCCTCGCAAGCACGCAGGAGCGTTTTGCCACGAGACTCTGGGAGACTGAGGACTGGATGGTGCATTGATCATCCACTGATCCACTAAGAGGAGAAAAACCACACGTCCGGCGGACCCAAGGTGAGCCTCTCAGAGCGCTCGCCACGGCGAGCCTCTCCGGTCACCCGAAGCTGCCGACACAGCCGACAGCGGGGGAAGAGTTTCACCTCACGATGCCAAGCCACCCACGACCAGCTGCCAGCGGTCAGTGCCAGCTCCTTGAGAGCTCGTCCCGGGCGACGTTGGCCTCAGGTGGGGAAAAAAGAGGGGTTGAAGAGCCCATGGTCCAATGGTTAGATGCATTCGCCTTATGGTTAGAGTCTTTTGGAAACTGTTTAAAACCAGCGTGGACTTTCTAGTTGGCCACTTACAGTAGATGTTCCCTCTACTTCAGGAGAGCCATGAATTCACACGATCTCAGCAGGCCATTTCCATTGTCCAAGAGGTAGGGAGGTTCTTGGTTGCTCGACAACATGCAAACGATATGTACAGGCAGCACAGGCGTGAGTTCTTTTGTTGCTGAGATGCGTTGCAGCTATTTTTCGGTCCCTTCTCAAAAGCCTTGCTGTTCCAGCCCAAAAAGAAGCATCGCACAACGAACCGCTCTGAATGCCCAGAGCGTCCGGCTCTCATTCCCATCTCCGCACCACGCCTCTGAAGTCGAAGCTTTCCACGAGGCGCGTCGCCACCTCTTCGTTGAAGTCGCCGTCGGCGCCCGCCGCCCGGATGGGGTCGATGTAGACGTCATGCAAGTGCAGGACTTCCAAGTTGGAGGAGTTTCCTGGGTCCGCTCCGGTCGACCTGGGAGACTTCCTGTGACCGTTTTCATCTTAGTGGGACTCCTTCTTGGGGCTTCCTGTGGCTCAGGCGAGAAGCAAGTATAACAAGGAATCAAGAAAACATAGGGACGGCCCCACAAACTCCCAAGTCATCTGGGTGTGGGCCAGCAATCCATGTTGCCAACATGGTCGCCAAAATTGAAGAATCGCACATGCTGGGGAGAGTCTTTCTACACCTTTTTCAGGCGGCAAAAACCGAAGCCCCTCGGCCTCGCCTCGTGTTCAAACAACAAAATTGGTGCTGAAAGCCGGTGCCAAGTTGACGGATAAGATCACTCGAAGGATGAAATTCTAGTCCCAAAGCCCCCGAGAACATCTGGATTCAAGAGGTATGCTCTATCTGAGGTGGTGCAGGATGTCTTCCTTCAAACACGTGTCAAAATGGTTATCCTTCCTCCTGTAGATGATACACCTAACTAGTGCTTTTGGGGGTCAGTTGATTAATTGCAATTCTTTTTGCGAGTAATATATCAGATTGCTGCTATCGAACATGGGATGCTCCAAAAGATATTGCAAAGGTTATCCTTGACACTTTCCGCGTCCTATCCACTGATATTCTCCAAACAGCCTTCGATGACAAATGTGACCTGCAAATGCAAAGTAAAGGGTGCTGAAGCAAATGCAGAGATTCTCAGCACCTGCGGGAAAGCGGAGCAGAAGGACACGAATGATCGCAGTCTGTCTCACTACACTCAGGACACGTGGAGTTGATGGGTTGATCCCTTTTTCAGAAATTAGGACATCGGTTCCAAAACTAAAAAGTCAGACCCCAAAATAGATAGAAAGGTTAATTTTTGAGCAAAATGTCTTGGACACCGTGCCATCTATTTGAAGACCATACGGGCGCCAGCGGGGTGTGTCGGGGAACTGCGACCCGAGCTGTTGAGCCGAGCTGTGGAGCGCACCTGAGCCACCACAATTCGGCTTTCAAACGTCGGTCCCAAAGTTGGAGATGAAAACGCTCAAGCCAGAAGAAGTATTGGTTTTTATTGGGCTTAAACCAGCACCACCCAGGTTGGGTGTTTTGTTCTTTTTTTCGACCCCCAGGTTAGATGTATTTTTTTTAATCAAGGCAACCACCCCAACTGGGTGGTGCTTCAAGGGTTCCTTCATGACTTTGGGGTGACCTGGCTCCACCACTTCCCCTCGCCGTCAACAGCGACCTGGTGCAAGGCGACCCGGTGCAGCGGACGTGGCGCAGCTGGGCGGAAGAGAGAGATCGCGTGATTCTCTGAAACGCGGACCAACTGGATGGCTTTGGGATGGTTTTGGGATGGAATTGGATGGTTTGGTTCAAAGAACTCCGCGGTGTGGTGTTCTTTTGGTCAGCACGACTTTGTGGCTGGCTGCCGACCTCCCCACCTCCGAGCCCCAAAACGAAGCCCGCAGACGAGCCTCCAGTACCAGAGGAAAGAGCTCGCGGAAGGTCCGTGGCTCGTGCAGCCGCAGCGAGAGCAAGGGAGGCTTGGCAAACCGCCCTGGCGCGACCCGGATCGCGCGCGGCCCGGATCGTCGGATCGCGAGCATGGATTGGGTGCAGGACCGGTCTGGTGAATATTGGATTGGAGTAGATGTCGAGTGTTGCGACCGCTTCTGCGATGAACTACCCCACGTCAACGCATGGACCCCTCCTAGGGCGGCCACCAGGTCCGTGAGGATCTCCCGTCGAGGGCGCCGTGATCCGAAGAGACGGCTGAGTTGGTTGGTCTCAATGCGCACATGGAGCCCAAAGTGCCCCTGCTGGAAGCTCTCCCAAGAGCCTCGGGCGTTCCACGTCTCGGAGGACATGGCCGTGTTTAGAGGCCAAGCACGGACGAGCACGTGCTGATTTTGGGGGGGAGCAGAAGACGTGAAAACACCCGTGTTCAACCACTGGTGGAATTGTACCACAAGCTGTTGAATCACTCCATCTTTCGGTACACCACCCCTGTTCTAAAAGATCTAAAAGGTTATCTATCAAACGACAAACGAACAACAGTGGATTCTTGGCAAATGTCTGGCAGGAGGCCCCATCGGCCAGGTTAGATTTGCCATCTTGTTTGGAAGAAATATTTTTCTTGAGTGTTTTGAGAAGTGGACAACAATCTCCTGAAAATGGGTCTGTGAACGACAATGTTCCTCCAGACACCTCAAAAAAATGCCAGGGAGCGCGATGTTATAGCCTTCATAGGAGAGGCCAAAAACCCAAACATCATCCAGTCCGCCGGCATGGTTCAAACCCAAGATGGACAATCCCAGCCCCAAATTTGAATCGCCAAACCGCCACTGGTCCAGGTAATGTAGACTCTTGATGAAAAAACATGGCCCCATATGAAGAGGTGTTCCATGGTTTTCCGATCCATGTCTGGATTGGTATCATATATATAGTCAAGATTCTACATTACTCTCCAAGAACACGTCTTTGAAGCGCCCTCCATGAACAGCCACACTCGTTCAACCTGCGTCTTGGGTCGTTCGAAGCCCTGGTCCGTCCGTCCGGTCATGTGGGTTTGGGGGTCGGACCCGCAGCGTTCGGCCCCCGAGCCGAGGCGCTTGGGCCCACCAGCGCCAAGCTCCAAACCTCGCGGCTCTGTAGGAACGAACTCGCCAAGCTGCTGAGGCGTGCGAAGGAGTTCGCCATGGCTTTCAGAGGCGGCACCTCCACCCCAGGTCAAATGAACAGATTCCTCATGAGTCCTCTAGAAGGGCTGATGAAATCGAAATATCATGGTTTGGTGACATCGACATATCATGGTTTGGCACACTCGATGTGAGACCTCTCTGCAAGATCCATTCGAAGCTTCTGAATCTCCCAGTGAGCCTTGTGGAACCCTTGTTGGAAGGATGATTTAAAATTTCTGCGCTAGTTTCGAAATGGTCGACCGTTTGGATCATAGGATCAATTCGCACTTGTGTTTTGTCTCTGAGATCTGACATTTGTTTCTGCAAACCCATGTAGAAAGCCTCTATGATGGATCACGATCCTCAAATCTCAAGGGCACTTCTACTTGACCATGGTCTTCCGCTTCAATACGAGCCATCTGGCCTCCAAAATTGCACGAACACCACGTCGACATACAGACATACTTTTGTTGCGCTGCGAGTTGCGTTGTCATTGGTCCAGGGAACTCCCATCATGTGGAAACAGCATGGGAAACTGTCAGTGGTGAGTTGTGAGTAAATTTAGACCATTGAACTTCTTTGTCATGAGCCATGTTGTTTTCCCAGCCATCCAGGCCCACGAAAACATACTTTGGTAATTGCCAGCCCATTGAAAGACAGCTTCTGAAACTGGCAGTCTTTGTCTTCATGTTCAGTGGTCAACCAAGGTCCCCGGATTTGGGGCCAAAACCGCCATAATGGACGTCCATGGCGGTGATGTCAAACCCTGGGAAATCTCGCACACGAAGTGACATGAAGCCCTGATGCCCTTGGGTGTGTGCCATGCCACACCTGAACATTTCATCCAATGGATGACACACAGATTGTGTAACACTTCTCCCAACCAACCCAACTCCCGGCCACGTCACAGTTCCCTCCCACCGTTCTTTCAGGTGGACCTGACAAAAGCCACAGAAAACCCACTGAAAACGCTCCTAAGCCTCGAAGATGGGCATTCCTTCACGTTGATGGATGTCTTTCCTTCTGCCCAACGGCCCACCAAGTGGAAGTGTAGCCGGAATCATCATTGGCAGATCACCCAACGATGAGAGGGCATGATTCGCCGGTCCTGACTTCAACCTGACATCCTAAGCACCCAACAGCTGGTGCCATCCACGTCGGTTCCAGAGAGCTTTTCGATATCAAAACCTTTAAGAGGTCCGGACTCCTTCACCCAAAACACAGCCGGTTCTACGTAACCCTGATTCTTCTAGGGAGTGTCTACTTCAACCGATCCACAACCACATTTACTCCCTCTTCCAGAGACTCAAATGGAACCTTTTTGCACCACAAATCGGTGGCTCTTCGGAAGATCATGGGTTTAGCGATCTTCCATGCCTCGTCCAGTCTGGTCCATGCGGACCCTGGGTCTCTATCACCCGACCTCGGCCGACCTCCAGCGGTTTCGCGGCCGCGGCGGTTTCCGACCGTCTCTGCCTGGCCGTCCGCCTTGGAGATCCAGTCACCACCGCTCTCGGACTCCACGCCCTGCATGGGTTTGAGGTCGCCACGCTGCTTCGGCACGGAGCTCAGGCGGTTCCGGCAGGGCCAACGACTCCGTTCGAGAAGGGTCGGTTTGGGGCTCTTCTGGGCAATGGGAGGTGTAAAGAACCCGAAACACTTGGGATGATAGTTGCCTAATTCCTTCAGAAAGAAATGGCATTTGGAATGCCTTTGCTTCAGAATGTCTTGGGGATCCTTCTTCATTGGATGAGCATCCGCATATGTTCGTCAACCTGCGGGGTGGCAATTCACACCCAAGTTGCAATAGCTAGAATGCAGTGTGAAAATGTGGGGTAGTTCAGGGCATTTAAACCTGGTGAATTCTACTGAGAACCCGGCAAGCTTCCACTAAACCCTATGCTTCTATTTTGTAAGCTTCTGTATAGCATGTGTATCCTGGAATTTGACCCATGCCCATCATAATCTCTGGAAACTGTTCCGTCCTCACCTTCTCTCAAGGTAGAACACCAGCCACGCAGCGAACCTAGTCAACCCCCGAAACCCACAACCCTCGGGCTGGAAGAAATACTGCAAAGAAACGAATTTATAGACACCCCTGGCCCCTGACCATCTATGTTCCATCCAATAACCACCCTTTCACTCCATGGTGCTGCTTTTCATGCTGCGTATTCCGTTGCTTCGTAGCCACGTCCGAGGCCGGGCCTTGGCCACCATGGAGAGCTCATCGCCCGGGCCCAGGAGCACCAGCTCGGCACAGTCGCGGCCCCGGAGCCGGCCGTTGTAGAGATACTCCTCACGGGCGAAGGCCGCAGTGGGTCGGTCAGTGGGCGGGGAGGAAGACACGAAGACTCGGAGAGAGGAGAGAGAGAGAGAGAGAGACTGGGTGGATGAAAGGCAGAAGTCCACATCTGGTGGGATTCCAGGTCGTCTCCTGTCAAGGATCCACTTCTGCAGCCCATTTTTGGAAAAAAAGGGTTCAACCAGCTGCATGTCCTAGAAAAAGGTCTGAAGACCGGCTCCTTCTTCATGATCTTTTGATGCCACTCGATGAGCATCCGCATCATCGTGGTGGGCGTCTGCACGCCGAAGTCCCTGGACGAGCGAGTGGGGGTGCCATGAGGCCGTTGGGCGAGCAGTGCGCAAAACGGGATGATGTGTTGGGCTGAAAGGGAATATGGAGGGGTTCTGCAAGGGATTGGTTTTGGCCAGAAACTAGGGGGAAACTCTGACTTTCGATTTTTTTGGGCGGAGTGGCTGGTTTCTGGCCATGGCCACGTGCTTCGTTTGTAAACACTCTGGTGTACCAAAAGCAGCTTTACAGCTCTTTAAGATTGTATAAGCAAGTGTTTCTGGCAAAAAAAAGAATCTTAGCCTTCAGACCTTGGCAGTCCTGGTTTCGCTTCATTTTTTGGCACTGGTGCCTTGAAAACATATGATGACACAAAACGACACTTTTACCTGAGCCCATGGCGCTCGGTCAGAGCCCATGGCGCTCAGCCTCATTGACCTCACTTTCCCCGCAGATCGCTTGAGAAACCAAAAAGCAGATCTGGTTCCAACCCTGTATCCTCTCATCCTATGGCAATTTCAGAGTCTTTCGACCACAAGTACTGCAAGCACTGCAATGAGCTCCTTCCGGGGCCCCTCCCACACTGCCCACACTGCCCTGGCCCCGAATCATTTGGCCGTGCCACTGCAAGCGCTCGGCGATGGAGACCAAGACCTAGACGACGCGACGGCGGATCCGAGACGAAGAAGCCCGAGTGCCACAACTGGACCATCAACGAGGACCCCAGCAGGTTGGCCTCTCAAGTAGCTTGGCCTCGGGACCTCGGCCTCTCAAGTTCTCACCTTACCCACCTGAGAATCTCTGTGAGACACCGCGAGACCTTCGCAACCAGTTTGATCAATAGTGCGACAAGTCTGGTCAAGTGCAACGAGTCTGGTCAAGTGCGACGAGTCTGGTCATGATCGGAGAAAACGTTCCGGTTCTGACCAACAGCCATCTCTGCCCCCAGGGCACCCGGCACAAAGACCCCAACCAATGTCGTCCGTGACCACCCGGTGGTTGGGGTGTGGCATCACGCCCTGCATGGTACGCAGCACGGGAGTCCTGGCGGGAGCGGCGATCCGAGGAGAAATCCCCCTTGGGTTGGAGAAAAGCATCTTGGGTGGGAGGAGTACCTAAGGATGCAAGCATCCAATTCTTGTTTCCAATCCACTTCTCTGTGTGCCTGGCGCACGCCCTCTGGAGTGTTCACTCGAGTTTTCTCACTCACGCATATGTTGGAGTTCGCGGGCTCGCCACCACACCACTCCATGCGCCAGCACACCCCCCATGCAAAGAACCACTGGTGGCCGTGCCTGGCCATGGAGTAGGCCTTGTTGGTGCCCACCATTTTCGCCATGGTGGACCTGGGTGACACACTGAGCAGGAACCACAGGCAGCTCCTATGCTGAGCTGATCCAAGTGGCTAGGGTTAGCACACTGGTATCTCGTCTCTGAAATCCATCAGTGGATCCATGCGACAAACACAAGTTTAAAGCTACCAAGTCTACATATATGCATGTGATAGAAATCCCTAGAAATCTATATCCCAGTAGATCTCATCTTCTCCATCTGCTCCCAAGTCTACCAGCTACCTCGCCTTTGACCACAAGCACCGAAAAGGAGAAGAACAAATAAACACCGCACGACAGACGACCATCGCCCTGCCCCGCGCGAGCAACTCGCAAGCGAGCGGCTGGTCGGCGATTTGATCGCCATATTGCTCGAGGAGCCGTGTGGCCAAGGGGATGACATGGTGACCTCGAACGGTCGGTGCGAAGGGGAAAGCGAAGTGCTGAAGGGATTGAGAGTTCGATGGAAGGCCTTCTAGGCGGAAGGCAGAAGGCCCAGAAGAGAAGGACATGGGATGGCCAGAAACCGGAAAGAAGGACGCTCTTTCAGTTTTTGTTGAGCCTTTATTTGGTTTCTGTCTGTGGAGTCATGTTGTGACTTTTCCTGGTTGCGTGATGTTGGGTGAATTACTGAAAATAACATATACCGGAATCTCTTGGGTGCTGTTTTGGAAAATCTTGGGCATTGGGATCCTGCTGGTTGGAGAACCAAGGAACAGAAAAACTGCTGGGTTGAACACCCTTTGTTCCGTCTTCATTAAATCCAAGGCCAGCCAACCTTGTCCGGAAGATGAGATGGGACGTCTTCAACATCTCCAATGGGGTGGAAATCACGGGCGCCGGGTGGTCTAAACGGTTTGGTCATGTCTTGCTAGCTGGTCGTTTTCTGCCAGGATCTGGACTAGTGAAAAAGGATGAAAAAGGAGAAGCAACACCAGTTGCTGCCCGCAACACAAACTGCTGGTTCCTGCACACACATATACACTTCGACAATTTGTATTCAGTTAGCTCAATTTCTCCGATGGGAA